ATAGGAAAAATAAATCAAAATTATCAGTAAATATAATTTTAAATTAATTAGATGAGAATTTTAAAAAAAGAACAAATTAAATTAGTAAATTTTAAATAATAAAAATAATAAAAAAACATTAAAATAAAATGTGACCAAATCACAATATAATCAAAGTTTGAAAAAAAAAGAATTTAAAAAAATGACAAACTAATGTAGTAAATTTTAAATAACATAAAAGAAACCGAAAAAAAATTATTTGAAAAACACTTTTAATTTAAAAATGTATTTCAGAAAAATTATATATATATATTAATCATGCCACTATAATTTAAACATTATCTAAATGTATTTTTCAAAGAAAATAATAATCATGTTCTAAAAATTTATTCCAAAATCCATACATATAGAAAAATAAATCAAAACCGTTAGTAAATATAATTTTAAATTAATTAGATGACAATTTTTTTAAAAAATGACAAATTAAAGTAGTAAATTTTAAACAATAAAAATAATTAACGAAAATCATTAAAACAAAATGGGACCAAATCATAATATAATCAAAGTTTGAAATTGAAAAAAAAAACAAGAAGAAAATTTGAAAAGATTGAAAATTAATGTGGTAAATTTAAAATAATATAAAAAAAATCAAGAAAAACTTATTTGAAATACACTTTTAATTTAAAAATATATTTCAGATAAATTATATTTATTAATCATGCCACTATAATTTAAAAATTATTTAAATCTATCTTTCAAAAGAAAAAATAATTATATTCTAAAAATTTATTCCAAAATTCATACATATAAAAAAAATAAATCAAAGTCGTCAAGTAAATATAATTTTAAATTAATTAGATGAAAATTAAAAAAAAAACAAATTAAAGTAGTAAATTTAAAATAATAAAAATAATTAACAAAAAGCACTAACATAAAATGGGACGAAATCACGATATAATTAAAGCTTGAAATTAAAAAAATAAAAAATTAAAGTGGTAAATTTTAAATAATAAAAATAATTAATAAAAAACACTAAAACAAAATGAGATAAAATCACAATACAATTAAAGTTTGAAATTGAAAAAAGAAAGAGAGTTTTAAAAAATGAGAAATTAAAATAGTAAATTTTAAATAATAAAAATAATTAACAAAAAACACTAAAATGAAATGGAACCAAATCACAATACAATTAAAGTTTAAAATTTTAAAAAAGAAAAGCATAGAAAAGTTGAGGATCAAAATGTTACAAAATACTATGACTAGTAAAAAGAATAATGATTTATGAGTGTGTAAATAGTATTTTAAATAGTAAATAAATAGTAAAATCATGTTTTAGTTTAATTTTATTGATAATGTTTTTTAAATAATAAGGTGTTGGTTTTTTCTCTCCCCTTAATCTTATTTATTGTTTCATATATATATATATATATATATATTCTCTTTTTTAATAAAGATCCAAACTATTTAAGGTGTTTTTTTTTAAAAAAAAAAATGATGCAGGCCTTTTAATTGGCGTGTGTTGATGTGGTAGTGTGTTACCATCTCATTGGACTTCATCGCATATTAAAAAAGCTTCCCAAAAAGTCAATCCCTTGTAACCGTTTAAAGAAAAAATAAATAAATATGCCTTCCTTTATCCTCCTAGAATTGTGACATGTGTCCCTAAATCCACTTTAATTTAAAAATTTCCTAGACTTTAACTCTATGTAGTGACCTAATTGGCAATACTTACAATCGTGGTATCAAATCCGATTTGGACATCGATGTGATCAAATTATCAAGTCATCTAGTCATTGATTTGACCAAGAGGTCATTGATTGGACACCTGATTATTGTGTTGAAAATAAATGTATATTCACATAAACAAAAAACGATAAAGTGATGAGTGCAATTTTTTAAAAATAAAAAATAAATATATCAAGTTTAAATACCCGTAAGATATTTTTTTCCTTTTCTTGAAATCGAGTCCGTGCTTGACTTGACTAATCTAACCAGTCAAGTTTGATTTAGTTTTGATGGGTTTGATCAAATCTAATCTGATCAAATCCGTTACACATGTCATATTTACCATCAATCCAAAAAGATTCGGTGGTGAGATCATTAATTTCTAGTTGGATCTCTCGATTATGTTCAAGTTTAATGTCACAGATTCTAATGGAAGGAACTAATTCTGCATTATAAAAACATAGGGTTTGAAATTATAAGATTGTAATGATGGTTACATTGAGTCTATAAAGTACAAAAATAGATATGAAATATGATTATAAGATATACTGATATAATAATTCTTAAAAATTTAAGAGACGATATACAATTAATATGTTAATTTTTAAAATATTTTATACATTATGCAAAATATAAATAAATAAATAAAGTAATCTTAAAAATCAATATAAACAATAACAAAAATAATCAATCTAACTTGACAATATAAGAAATAAAAGAAAAGAATTTATTTAATTTTGCAATGCAATGCAATGTATTTGGGTATTAAGAATCAAATATTCTTGACAATTATTATGATGATCATGAAAGAATTGGTGATAATTTATATATTTTTTTAATCAAATTTAATCATTCCTACACATATTTCTATTGATTTTTTATTTATGACAATTTTTTTTATTTATAAATAATAAATATCATGTTTTTTTTCGTAATAAAATTTATAGAAAAGAAGAAAAAGAATAAGGAATTATAATTTTTTTTGAAGTATTCTTTCTTCCCAGTATGAAACCTTCTTTCCTTTGGTTTTATTGTTACTAACTCATCTAGTAAAGGGCAAACAATATTTTTGTCTTACGGATTTATCAAAATTCCGATTCTATCTTTATAGTTCGTAAATTTTCACTATCATGTTTATAGTTTCTATAAACTTTTAGTTCGCCTTTTTAGTTGTTAAGTAATTGACAAGAAGACCCATTTGTATCTTTATATTGATTTGTGGGTACTTTTGTCACCTTATTTTCTCCCAAATCCGTATATATGTTCTAACATCTAACAAAAAACACTTAACAAAAAAAAAAAAAAACACTCAAAAACCAAATTCGAAAACGAGAGGATTCAATTGTCGGGGGCAACATAGAAATTATCCGAAAAGGGCAACATTGAAAATTTCAAACTACATAGGTAAAAGCTAATCAATTGTTTAGTTAATCCTTTCCTAAACAAATCATAAGAGTTAGGACTTACCCCTGTTTGGACGGGGATGAAAGCGGGGAGAGGAAAGAAAATAGGGTGAAAATAAAACTTTTTTTCCGTTTGGATTGTAGAGGAAACCAAAGGAAAGAAAAAAAATAATAAAGAATGTAAAAATGGTGGGACCCATTTTCCTCCTAAAATTGGGAGGAAATGGAGAGAAAAATAGGAGGGATGAAATGTTTTTTTTTTTTTTTTGTTTTTATAGTTTTGCCCTTGCCTTAGCCGTTTCCTTCTCTCGTAAACACCATCTCTCTCTCTCGCCGAAGTCGTTTCTCTGCCATCATCTCTTCTCTCGCAAACACAATCTCTCTCTCTCGTTAAAGTCGTTTCTCCGCCTTTTGAAGCTCACGGACGTTGGTTTTTTTCCTTTTGAAGCTCACGGTCGTGGGTTTTTTTCAAAATTTTGAAACTCATGGTTGTGAGCTTTCTTCTCCTTGTTGGATCACGGCCATGAGACCTTCTTCACCTTGGAGAGTCACGGCCGTGACTCTCCCTTCTTTTTGCCGAGTCATGGCCATGACTAACATTCTCAATTTTTTTTTTAATTGCTAAATAGTAATTGTTTATTCTAAAACAAAAAAGCGAGAGAAAATGATGAGTAAAAGCAACTAACTTATTATATGCATAGATAACAATACATGTTATATATATTTAAATTAATTTTATGTTGATAATTAATCTAAATTGGCTATTGAATTAATTAATTAATAAACGGTTATCAATTATTCTATAGAGACGATTCATTATCTATCTTATCATTTCAGATATATGCTACATGTTAGATTTTTATTTTATTATCATTTGTGTTATTTTCATAAAAAAAAATATTCATACAAATTTATTATAAGTATTTAAATATAGAAATATAAACATAATGATATTATAGTAAATATATAATAATATTTATTTATTTATTTATTTTTATAATTATTCAAACAAAAAATATATATTTCTTTTTCTTTTCTTTTCATTTTTATCTAAACAACATGTGAAAAATATATATATATATATATATATTTCTTTCCTCTTAGGAGGAATTATCCAAGCAACGTCTAAGTAAAATGATCATATCATCTTATCCAACTGCAACTAATAAAGCCGACATTGCTTCGCAACTTTGCCACGCATCTCACCACTTTTTCCTAAAACGACCTGAAAAAGTGCACCCTTCATATCCAAAAAGCAAAAACGCCCGTGGTTTGGCCCCTCAGGATGTGCAATCTTATCCACTTCTACTCATCTTTAATTGTCTACATTTCATATCTCCTCACTCACAACAAAATCAAACTCACTTCAATAATTGTACCATACACCTAAAATATACCGTCAAACCATACCGTACAAGTTCTTGAAGGTATACCGTCATAATAAACGCATAACTTAGCGAGAAATTTTATAATATATCAAGTATAATTAATGATATATATAATAATTATTTAATAAATTTATTTTTTAAAAAATAAATAAAAAAATATTTATATTCATAAAAAATGATAAAAATATCTTTAAGTCTGTTTTATTTTATTTTTTATTTTTTTAATATATTTTTTTTAAAAATAAAATTTAAAAATAATTATTATACATATTATTATTAAAAATAATGATGTATTATAAAATTTTTCGTAACTTAGCCGTATGTGATAAGAACCTACTACCTTAAAATTTATTCATACATGCTTCACGTTCCGATTGTTATCTCCCTTCCTCTCGCTGTCTTGAACGCTACATTTTCTCTCTCTAAAGCTCTTCTTTCTTCCTTTCATGCTTTCACTCCTTCTCTCTCTACAAAAAATCTCAAACTTCGATTACTTTTCCGCATCATGGCTCTGACACTCACTTTCGCTTCCTCCCTCCCAGCTCCAGTCCAAGCATCGTCCAGATCCTCTAGGAAGACCGACCCGTACGGAAAGAAGACTGGTTCTTCAACCTGGTGGGCCCCACTCTTTGGTTGGTCTTCCTCTCCTGATTACATTAACAGCGGTAGTGCCGGTGGCACAAGCGATGATGTACCAGACAAGGAATCCGGGTTATTGGGTTCGGATAAGGGACCAGGACCCAGATCGAGGTTCGCTCTGGGGTCCTTCACTGAAGAGAAAGCGAAGCAGCTTAGAAGGAAGACTATAGAGGGTAGCACGTTTCACGACATGATGTATCACTCGGCGATAGCATCTCGTTTGGCTTTGGATGGATCGGGTCGGCCCGAGAAGTAATCCGGAACTCCGGTTGGTAAGCTTAAAACCGGCAACCACTAAGTTTTAATTGTGGGACCCACAAATTTGTCGAAATTAATATTTTGAAATGTCTATTTTTTTTTATTCGGGTTTGTTATGTAAGATGAAGAACAGTTAGTTTGGTTGTACTTTTAATGTCGGACCGTTTGATCAGTTGTAAACGCTGATGCGTTCGCTTTGATGGTTGTGTCAATTTGGCATGATTAATGGTTGTTGGATCTTGGCCGTTAATAATATGTGATGAATGACATGGCAAACTCTTGATACATTTGATCTCTCGATGGAAGAACTGATGTGTGATGCGCCTTCACTTGGGTCATCCTCATCCATGGTGTGCTGATTTAAGCACGTTTTAGTTTCTCCCTTTTTTCCCTAGTACCAAAATATCTAGCGCTACGCTATGAGGTAGCTTAACGTAGCCTAACCCAACCTTCAACCCTTGCCTCACCCTCAAAGAATTTTGATCTTACAGTGAAAATCCCAAGTCTTTAATGGTTGGGCTCTATCTAAAATGAGAATCACTTGTTAGTTAACTACTGCAATGACTGTTGAGATCCTAAAATTGCTTAAAGAAATGATAGACAAATTAGTTTGGCGAGTAGGGCTGGTTTAAATAGTGGTTACCGACCCATGGTATGGAGACATTGGTAAACGAGTCCACGAAACTTGTTTGGATGAGTTGTAGTCAAGGACGGTTTGGGTTTGACAAGACCTAGAAGATAAATTATTAGAAATGTTAATTGTTTTAAATAATTATTCTATTATGTATAAAAAAGTTATTTTTTAAGATTAATATCTTTTCATATCAGTTAAATTTCAATTCGTCTTAAAATTTAAAAATGCTTTCATAATGTCTTTATTATATGGTTTTTAATTAATTTTTTTTTGTCAAATTAAACATTTGTTTTGCATATTATATGTAATTTGGCAATTATTTATGGAATATGATAGAATTAGATAAATTGTTTGATAGATTTAGTTTATCCATAAATAATGCCCAATAAAGGCATAACAAGCACTTAAATCCGTAAATCATGTAAATAACATTGAAATTTGAAAGGATTACTTTCTCGGGAGCGGCTTGATTACAACAAAAGCCTTATGAACTGCACGACGAACGATTCTAGTATGCTTTATGGATTAATCCAGGACATTTTCCTGGCATGATTAAGGATGGCCTAATAGCAACAGATCCTTTCTAAAAAAAAAATGTCAATCCTTCTACAGATTACATTTAAAGATTGCAAGTTCGAATATTTCAAAACGGAAGCTACAAAGATTTTGTAAATGAAATAACGGGGTCCTGTGATGAGTGATGACTGATATTAGTCACTGTCATTTGGTTTTGGGCATACTCCATTTTATACAAGTCAGTCTGGGTTGGATCAACTCTTTGCCAATTTCACCGTCTTTTGGTTCACGGGCCAGAAAATTTATTACCCTTGGCGGTAGAATTTGCTGTTTGAGGGTTATTTATTATTATTGTTGTTGTTGTTGGCATTAAAAGCACTGTTGACCTAACTGGAATCCGACCGTAAATAAGTTTTTTTTTTTTTTTTTTTCACCTGCATCCGAATACGAGTGTCAACTAGTTCCTTCTCTTATTTTGTAGGTAAGAGTACCTAAAATTCCAAAAGGAATGTTTAGGGGTCATGGAGGTTTGTTGTTGTTGTTGTTGTTTTTAACTTTTTGAATTTGAATGGTATGTACTTAAGATTCTATAAATAAACATTTTAAAAGAAACAACCGTTAGACTAAAACACTATTGAGGACTTTTAGATTGCAGTCCACTCCGGCGTGGATTGATAGGAGAAAGAAAGGAGACATGCTTGACGCGGTGGAGTTGGGCTTTGACTAGATGCCCAATACAATGATCCTGAATTTCATATTCAGCAAACTATTCCCAGGAAAATGTATTTGAGCTGGGCTGTCGCTGGCAAATGATTTGAAACAATAAGCCGGATCCTAAATCCTCATTTTTTTCCTTCGTTTTTTCTTTTTTGGAAAAATGTAAACTATGTTTTCCCCTTAAAGTTCCATCAACATTCCATTTCTACCCCCAAAGTTTAAACTTTCCCAATATTAACTCTATAATTTTTAAAATGTTTCAATTTTATGCTATTACTAAATAACTCACAAAAAAACTCACTTTTGTTCGGATTTTGTTTAGTCTTATTTAATTTTCTCATTTTTCCTGTCAAATCCCCATAAATATTATAATATATTAGAAAAACATTATAACACCTAAGGGAAAAAAATTTACAATCTAGTAGATGGAGAGAGAAAGTTAGTGAGTCAAATGTATAATCTAGTGAATACATATTGGTAATAAACATGGAGATGTGTGGCATGAAAAAAGAAAAGAAAAGAGAGAGATGTTTGCCATTGCTATTATATTGATCAAAGATTGAGAAAAGAAGCAAATTATATATACATATGTATAAAAAAAAGCAATTGAAGGATCGAATTTAAACAAATCTATCATGAAATATGTTCTAGAGCTTTTTTTTTTTTTTTTTTTTGGCAAAAATACCTCTTGTAGTTTAACATGTTAAGTTTTTAATCTATCTTTAATGCTAAAAAGTCCATTATATTATTGTTAATAATTTTCTTAATAATTTGTTGCATTGTATTGAATTTTTTGTTAATTAAAAATATATAAAAATATTTAGTACAAGTTAGTAAATAATTGTTCAAAACATTAAAAACAAATAATTACAGTGAAGTAATTTTTAACTAGTATCTTAAACATGTAATTAAAAAACAAATATTTATGTTTAAGTAATTTTTAATTAGTCTCTTAAGCATGCAATTAAAAAAAATTATATGTAAGTAATTGTTCATTAGTCTCTTAAACATGTAATTAAAAAACAAATAATTATATGTAAGTAATTGTTCATTAGTCTCTTAAACATGTAATTAAAAAACAAATAATTACATATTTTTTCAATTATATAATTATATGTAAGTTGATAAATTTATGTTTAAGTAATTGTTAATTAGTCTCTTAAGCATGCAATTAAAAAACAAATAATTATATGTAAGTAATTGTTCATTAGTCTCTTAAACATATAATTAAAAAACAAATAATTACATATTTTTTCAATTATATAATTTTTTTTTCGCACACCATTCACATGTTTTTTTTTATAAAAATAATTTAATATATTGATAAATATTATATCAACTTGTTCAATATTAATATGTAAGTGAATTATTATAATATAATGGACTCTTTAGTATTAAAAATATGTTAAATGATAACTTCTTGAATAATTACATACTAACTTGTAATAATATTTTTTTTCATATATTTTTAATTAACATAAAATTGCTACACATTATTAAAAAAATTAATAACAATAATATAACGAACTCTCTAGTATTAAAGATTGATTAAAAACCCAATCCATTATATAAAAATAGAATAAAACCTTAACATGTTAAGTTGCAAGAGGTATTTTTATCAAATTAAAAGTCACATGATATTTTCAAGTAGTTTGACGGAAAAAAAAAAAAAAGACCAAAAAGACATATTAGAAATCAACTTAAATAATAAATACAGATTAGAGGTGTTTTAAAATTTAGAGATAAATTGAAATTAGCTTATTATATAAGGATATGTGAGAGTATTGATCGAAATTATTAATCAACTATTTTCCATCAAACTCTTATATATTGTTGCATTACTTGATGATGTTCTTTGTCCTAAACTATTAAATTATAATTTTTTCTTTTTATTCTCGAAGGAAAATTTTCCTTCTAGATTATTTTTTCATTTTATTTATAGTAAATACTTAAATTATCTGTACGTTAAAAAAGTAGAGAAAGACAAAATAATCTTGGAAGGAAAGTTTTCTCAAAAAATGAAAAGACAGAATAATTTAATAATTTAGAATAAAAAACACTTCATCAGATAATGAAACAATTGTCAAAAGCTTAATATAAATACTTTTAAAAAAATTAACATACTAGAAAAAAATTAAAATTTATATATTCCATTGACAAAACATTAAAAATTAGGATATGTATAGTGCAGTTATCCCTCAATGGCCCATAACAACCTTCAAAAAATTACATGCAATCAAGATAATTTGAAAAGGAGGAATGAACTCTTAGTCTAGACATGATTTTACAGAAGGAAAATAAGTACGAAGCTTTTCCCAAAAAAACTTTAATCAGATATAGTGATCCAGTTGAAACTTAAAAAGAAATACTGGAGAAGAACTGCAAGTGCACATGATTGGGTTGGACAGAGGGGAAAGAAAGCTGAAATAAGGAAATATGCAAACAAAGGTATCCAGTCTGATCTGATTGGGCTCCATTGAATTCGAAGAGTCAGACATTGTCCAAAATTATGGGCTTATTATTGTGCATCGGGCACAATCTTAATTATAATTTTGGAGGCTAATGTATCAAGAAGAAAGGAGAACAAACAGGGAGTTTTATATGTATAAGAGTCGAATTCCACGACGTGGATGATACCACAATAGTCAAACCAGGTCAATGTTTTTTTTTTTTTTTTCCCTTCAATTATGAAACCATTCTCAGCTTATATGATTTGTGTATATCATTAGGTGATGCTGCTGCGTGTCAGAAGGTTGGGTCCAGATTCTAGATCCAAAGATACCATGTGGTGGTTAATTAGTAGCTAGAGCAAGGCTAACTGTTATAATTAGCTTAATTGTGGGTCTAAGGGCGGACCTTGACTGTACAGTCTGGACTCCTTTTCTATGTTATTTTCACATGCTTATTGCTGATTTAATTCCATCTACCTTTCGTGTTTATTTTAGCTTCATATATTTATATTTTTCCTGTAACTTAAATAGAAATTAGTTTCTCTGACTAATCATTTTGTGGCTTCTTATACCGCACCCTGGCGGTCCAAAATTCGAAGGCATCGCTAAGATTTCAGACTTAAGATTTCGGACAAGCACTTAACTCTGTTCAGTTACTTGTAGTTCAAATTCAGCTACTAGTAGTTTAAATAGCCTGTGGATATGTAATTCATGGATTCAAATCCTTTAATATTAAGGTTAATTATATAAAAAAAGAATCTCAAGTATTATAAAATAATAAAAACCATCCAGAAGTTTAAAATTCTGACATAAATTCTCTCATGCTTAAGTAAATATTACAAAAACTCTCTTCTGTATTTAAATACCATTCTTTTTTTTAAAAAAAATTCTCCTTAACATTTAAGACATTTTGGATAAAAAAAGTTTTTCTAATATCTTTCAGAATTTTTGAACTGTCATTATAATTCCATGATTATATCTTAATAAATCATTGTAATTTATTTTTAATATTTGTTGTACGTATATTTGGGTTATAATCTACGTCAATATCAGTAAATTCAGACGGAATAACCATGGTTTTGCTACATATTAAAAATAGAACTCAAGTCTGTTCATTTTTTTCCTCTCACCAAAGATTAATCATTAAATTCAAAATCAATAATAATATTAGATACATGAATAATCATGTTCGTCTCTCAAAATGAAAAAAAATGTAAAACTTGCCATAATTTGGTGTATTACTTATAGTATGGGTCTATCTCTTTATTTGTTTTTAACACCATAATTTATCATAGTTTTTTGAACATCGTAGTATGGGTTTAAGTTGATATTTCCTCCACATATTTCAGTACTATTTACTTAAAAATCAATTCGATGCATATTGGAAGACATATGCAACTCCTGCAAGCTTCCTGTCATGCCCTCCCCCAAATCCCAATCCCCATGCACTCATTCACTGCCTGCACATGCCACGACCCATTAAGTTATTGTATGATTGCCGACCAAAAAGAAGCAGAATCAAACACAAAAATTATAAAATATTTTAGCACTAATTAAGTTGGCTGGTAATTATGTCAGAAAACTGCATGCATACCCAATCAAAATGCCTCTTTTGCACATGGGTTATATCAGATAAGATCTGAATCATCCTTTTTCTAATCCATATGATTTGTCATTCTGATATGTCTCTGCTTCATCCACACGAGCCATCATAGTAATTAATATATTTTGATTGATAATCAGCTTAAATTTTATATTAGTCAAGTAAGGTTATCGTTATATATGTCGATTGATGCATCTATAGATCTTGGACACCAATCAGCTTCTCAGAAGTAACCCATACAGATGACACAACATTATCAAAACCATGTGCTTCTCCATACATTATATTGATACTTGCTTCAGCTTTATTATTTAGATTTTTTTTTTTTTAAAAAAAGAGAGATTCACTGGACATGAGAAGATATATAGGCGTCTCTTAATTCTTAATTTCTATCTCTTTTTTCTTTTCAAATATGTATGCAAATCTTTGTAGTAAAAAACTCAAGTTTTAACCGTTGGACTGTTTTTTAACAACAGATTTAGACGTGTTTGTTTCCCAAAAGATTCAAATACTCACCATTTATATTAGTGATATTCTATCTTTTGAGAATGTTAATTATTATTGATTTCCTTCATGTAGTTTGTTTAAAATTCAGGCATGCGTATAGATATACCTAAATCGACAATAGAACATCAATCCAATAATACCATGTGGCTTTCAATATCTTGTGTGAGTTGTGTCTCAACCTCCACCAGAAGACAACCAAATCTTAAAATTTCAAATTATACAGTGATCCAAAGATCTATTAGCTCCATTTTAATATCGATTTAAATTAAGCAATTCACTTAACAAAAAAATTCGATATTCCTTAATTATATTATAAATATGATGTTCTGTGGAGATCAAGGCACCTATGTGTGATTGTACACCTAGCAAGTATCAAAATACAGGAATCATTCTGAACTCCTTAATTTGACTATATATAACAATTGAACGTATCGCTGTTATTATTTTTAATTTTATTTGTGTACTGAAATTCTTATTAAATGTGTAAAACCGAAAAAAAAAAGTGTTTATTTAAAGCTATTGTATTTGGATACACAATGTGTTTTTTTCTTCAACTATGGATATTTTCAATTAATTTTTCAAAATTAAATTCATCTTTTTAATTCGATAAACAGGAAATTCATATTACAGAACGAATAAATACTTCTGATCAATGCAATACAATTTCAGATGATAAAAAAACGACCAATAGCTACAATGAAATAAAAAGTAAAAATTGACATAGATCAAAATCAGCGAATAAAGATGTTTTGAAACTTGATAATATTTAAAATTAATCCACCATGTTTGTTGCTTTGTCTTCAACGAAATGAACAGCAAATAATTTTGTAATTTTCTCTGCATGGTAATGAGCAGCTGACGATAGTTCTAGTGGCACTCATGTAGTTTTGACCAAAAACGATGTCTTTTTCGTGGGCCAAAGCAAATAAAACCCAACGCAAACCTTCCTCCTTCCCTGCATCTCCTTCCCCCTCCTCCCCATCTCTCCCTGTAGATTAACCATAATGTATAGAGCCGCCGTGCTGTTAGTGACACTTTGCATCAGCTGGCACGTTGCGTTGTCAGTCACCGATGGTAAGTCCTTCGAATATTTTTTCATCTACGCACAAATTTTAGCTTAATTTGCTTGTTAATTTGGTTCCCTATGGGATGCAATATATGTATGTACCAATGGTTTTTTTTTTCCTAGGCTAAAACATCTATTAGTTCGTTAGATATTGATGTATATTATTAGCGAATTTAACGAAGAGAATATTGTGCACAAATTAGAATCATACGAAATTTTTATATCCTTTTATTATAATTTTTTTTATCAATTTTGTTTCATTCTAATATTCTCTGCATTATATTTTTAATTTCTTATTTTCTATTACATATATTTTTACGTGACTTGTTCTCAAACGCCAAGAGCTTACATGCTAGTAAACTGATCATTAACCAGTAGCATCATAGCAACAAAACACAGGATGAAAAATTTGCAATTAATGTGATTTAAACGGGATATACTATTTGTTTCAGGCAAATTCAATTATTAATTTCTGCTCAATTAGTTTGTGAACCACAATCCTACTGCTCCTAATTCTTTCTTAAGGGGATCTGCAATGATCTAAGTATGGATGTTTTACTTCATTAATTAAGGTCATACAGCAATGAATTCTGCCTCCCTTCAATGCGCTAGTCATATTCAAACGTTTCATTTTTCTTGGGATAATAAATTTGGCACTCTGTTTTATTGGATTGCGCGCCATGTACCATTAAATGCAATCAGATTATTTTCACTCTGAATAATAATACCCTGGAAATTTGTTAAATGGACAAAACTAATCTTGATTAGTTATATATTAGAAATTTAACCTATTAGCCGCAATTAAGTTAAGCCAAGTAGTAGTCCTAATAATAAATAAATAAAGGTCAACCCAAATCCGCTATTCGAGCACTGATTTGAGAAAAAATATGTATCTTTGTCTCTCAGTAAAAACTTTCTTTTATGTTCAAAAATTCGGTCAGATACATAATAGAACAGTAACGTATATGTGAAAAAACCTAGTAGCAAGCCAGAGGAAGGCCATAAATTTGCAAAAGTAATTATATTTGCAATTTATGTGCAGTATGGCCCCCGAAAACCAATTCCATCATACCCGCACCACCCTTCCCCCCTAATTTATTTTCACCTTTTTTTTTTTTTTGTGATTTTGGTTTTAGCTTTCAACATTGTCATCAAAGTCAACATGCAAGTGTGACATTTACATGTAACATTTATACTTCATGTGCTTGTGTTGTTGGGTGGATGGTAATCGATAATATATACAAGGAGATCTGAGATATTTAATCTTTCGAAGGAGAATCTCAGCCTTGCATTTCGTAGACAAATATTAATCTCCAATTTTTTAATTAACAATCCTCTTTTTATGGGTTGTGGCCTCAGCATCATTTTATTGAATATAGATTCACCCCTGTTTTGAAGTCTTGATCACATGGACTGTGAGCAGAACATGTGATGACACAAAAGCATTTGTCGTCTCTGACTTCAGATCCGAAGGCAAAGACACTTATAGATTTGATGACCATCCATCTCTTTTAAAATACTAGAGGGGGTGATCTGATTTCAATCTTTTTCCCTAAAAAAGAAAACAAATTGCTGTCGTTCTTTTCTTTGTTGGTTTAAAATACATCACAAATCATGTGATATGAAAGATGTATTATAATTACTACTACTACATCAAGAACTTTAAGTTAACCAAAAGGCCATTAATTTCAGGTTTATTGCCTAATGGAGACTTCGAGCTTGGCCCAAAGCCATCAGAAATCAAAGGAACAGTAGTAACAGCCAATAATGCAATTCCTAACTGGGAAATTTCTGGCTTCGTCGAGTACATAAAATCAGGGCAAAAACAAGGTGACATGTTGCTTGTTGTGCCTGCCGGAGCCCACGCAGTTAGATTAGGGAACGAAGCATCCATTAAGCAAAAAGTTATGCTCACGCAAGGCAAATTCTACTCAATAACCTTCAATGTGGCTCGCACTTGTGCCCAAGAGGAGAAATTGAACGTCTCTGTTTCACCAAATTCTGAACCACAAGATTGGGGAATTTTGCCCATGCAAACAATGTATAGTAGCAATGGTTGGGATGCTTATGCATGGGCTTTCCAAGCTGATGTGCCTGAAGTTGAGATCACCCTCCATAACCCAGGAGTGGAGGAGGATGCTGCTTGCGGCCCACTTATTGATTCTGTCGCATTAAAGCTTTTGTCCAATCCTAAACGCACCAAAGGTAACCATACTATCAGTGAATTGGATTTAAACTTAATTAATTATTATTTTTCAAATTTTAATATATTTTTAAATAATTATTCTGCAGACAACTTGTTAAAGAATGGAAATTTTGAAGAGGGTCCATACATGTTTCCTAACACGGACTGGGGTGTCCTAGTCCCTCCCAACGTTGAAGATGATCATTGTCCTATACCTGGATGGATAGTTGACTCCCTCAAGGCAGTAAAGTATATTGACAGCGATCACTTTGCAGCCCCCAAAGGCAAAAGAGCTGTAGAACTTTTGGCAGGAAAAGAAAGTTCTATCTCACAAATAGTGAAGACCGAAATCAATAAGATCTATGTCCTCACATTCAATGTTGGTGACACTGGTAACTCATGTGTAGGATCAATGGCAGTAGAGGTTTATGCTGCTAAGGATAGAACTCAAGTTCCTTATAAATCTACTGGCAAAGGAGGGTTCAAGAGTGCCAAGTTCGTGTTCAAGGCCATATCCAATCGCACAAGGATTACTTTCCTAAGCTCATTTTACACCATGAAAAGTGACAACTCTGGTTCTCTATGTGGTCCAGTATTAGAAGATGTGAAGTTGGTCAGTGTTCGAAGACCAAGGCGTCATCTGTGATAAACTACTAATTGCACTGCTTGTGCAACCACATATATAAATTCTTCGACCTTCATCCATTTAGAATGTCATCATATATCTCTATATACTTTCAATAGGTTTCTTGTAATGGAAACATGAGGGGCTTGAAATGAGTTTGATTATAATGTTCCTTTTATGTATGAAGTATCTCGGGTTTTTTCTACTATTCAATATGATAGGAGGTGGTTCCTCGAAATGAGTTAAATTAAAATGTTTCTTTGATGAGAGAAATCCTGAATGGTGTTGGACGAGCTACGCGTTGTGATGATTTCGCTTTCATTGTTGATCATTAACCAACAAAAGTTTCAAGAATGGGAAAAGATTGAGGTGTGATGGGCATAAACAATGCAATCTGCAGGGAGGAAAGTCCTCTGTTGCACAAGATTCAAGAATGTCGCAAGGTGGCGTTTTGATGAACTTAGTGAAATGGAGCTTAAGCCTCGTGCGCTAGAAATGTGGTATGCCAATCATATTTGCGTTTTGCATTATTATAGCCCTGCGGTTCCATGAACCAATTGAAACCTATCAGTGTGAATTATAGAAATAACATTTGTGGCTTCTACATTTTTCCTTTATTTGACAGTTGATAAAAACGCTAGTTTTTTACGGCAGGGGATAATTAAACAAAAAAGGAAGAGCAGAGTGAAAAAGGAATTGATTACTTCAAATCAAAGTAAAACTCGTTTTAAAATAATTTTCTCTAAGAAGACTCTGAAACAAATGTATAATAAAATAGTTAAAAGGCAGTCTATTTTTCAGATTCTGAGTTAAGCGACTAAAATTTTTAAGCAAGATTGTCTTAGTGTTGAACCTAAAGATATTTAAATGCTTGAATGAAAAATACCTACTAATTACACAGAAATGCAATGACATAAGAATCTCTTGGAAGGGGTTCCGGACTGCCCAAAATGTCTAGATTGCAAGATTAGAATGCAAACATATGACAAATGTAATAATTAAAAGTTAACATTTAAACAATTATTTAACCAAGAACAATCAATTAATCCTAAATTAACAATAAATATGCAAATTTACAGACTACAAAATTGAATCAAAATTTAAAATTAAAAAATACTTAAAAGTGTTTACAAACGTTAATGACTTTAAAAATATAAAATTTACGGACATTGGAGTTGATGAACGGACACTAATTGAAACTCTAAACATCGAAAGACGAAATCTGTATGTGTTTTAATGAAAATAGCAATCGAATCGGACAAAATCTATTAGCCTACTATCATTGTCTATTGTTACCGATTGCAAATTATAGCCTACCGTGTTTCAAGTATTGAAACGATTTGCGTTATAATGCTGATAATTAATAAGAATATTATTATTGTATTGTGTTTGCTCTGTATGTGTGTGTGTTTTTTTTTCTTATTGCAGTTGGTATTTATAACCTTCGTATCCTTCTATATTTTTCTTATTGGCCACATTTGTAAAGCGGTGCCATTTTTCTTATTAGCCACATTTGTAAAGCGGTGCCATATTCTAAGTGTAGTTGAAAGCATTATGCATGCAATGATTTGTACTTGCTCGGATATATGTTTTGATGTTTGTTTAACTAGCCGATCTCAATCGAATCTTGATTGAGAGTGTGAAAAGGATCTAAGATATCTCAAGAGCACTGTAGATTATTGTCTGTGTTATCAAGAGAAAAATTTATATCTAACCGAGTACTCAGATGCTCATTAGAGAGGAGAAATTGATGAATGTAAATATACTTCTGCCTATTCTTTTCTACTCGATCAATAAAGACGATAAATTTTAGAGTAGTAAGAAAGAGACCTGCATAGTTTTGTCTACCATAGAAGCTGAACTTGTAGCATGTTTAGTTGCTATGCCAGAAGCATTTTAGTTGAAGAGATTTTTTATGAGAATTTAGAAGTTGATAGTTGACGCCTATTACAGTCTGTTATGACAACTAAACAACTATTGCTTATACAAGGATCCTATGTACTATAGTAGAACCAATCTGTTATGACAACTAGACAACTATTACAGTCTGTTATGGACACACTTTCATCATCATCATTTTTGAAATTTTCAAAGTACAATTATACATCATCTCTCATTCTGGTTGGACAGCACCCTGCAACAACGACATACAAACCTGTAAACATCAAATTCTTATGGAAAATATGTCAACAAAATTGATATAGACAAATTTGAAACACATTCTTGGTCCTACTCTAGAATGATATTTTTTTCTTTGAACTTAAGAATAAAGAAACTAGAATACCTGAGTAGTTTTCTCTTCTTTCAAGCTTACGGTTCTAACCTTCAACTCTCCTCTGCTGGTAGTTAGCTCGTCTAATATCTCAGCATCACACATTTCCATTTCGCAGTCCTCATTGCCATGAACATGTGCGTCTCTTTCCTGATAGAATGTCACATGAATTTAGTATTAACAGAATCGAAACTACAAAGAATCAGCAGATAGCTAGATCTGGAGAATAATATGCCTTGAGAGAGAGGCTGGGCGAAAGTCTTGGGGTGCCTGTAATCTCCTCATATTCAGCTGCATCTAGCTCCCGTAAATGACTTCGACGGAACAACTTAGGAAGGATGTGTTGTCTTATGCTGATGAGAACAAAGAACGGCAATGGGAACAAGATTCCAGCTATCGGAATCCATGTCACACCAAAACAGACCAGGAAATACACGAATTGGAATATTGTAAATATGGCAATATATTTGAATGGAACTGATTCCACAAAAGAAGCGTGAACCCCCTCCAAGACCCTGCCAAAAGTGATTGCCAGGCAGAGATGTAACTGGTAAAATCATAGGCAGCTAATAACAATACATGTCGGAAAGATGAAGTAAAATTTACTTGCGTCATGGAGCAATTTTATGATGAATTTAATAAGATATCCCCGAAGAAAATGATCAATAACAAGGGCCATCTTTCCCCGCCAAAAAAGAATAAAAAAAGAAATTTTTTTAAATGCTGAGAAAAAATAGACAAATTTGGTTCAATCTGGTTTTGAAGATGCTACTAAACAAGATTTGAGAAAAGTGTGCTCTAATTCTAAAATGCTAGTTGAATTATTACGCTACTCAGAATGACAAATAACTTACTTGTAGCGCCGGCCAGGTGCAATGAAGAGAAGTAGCATTCTTTCCCAGAACTGGTTCCCTGGGAGACTGTCAATTGCCATGTAAGCAAAATATCCCCAAAGGACTGATGTAGGTATCAGCTTTATTGCAGGCGTAGCACATACTGATGCTGCCACAAGTAGCGACTGCAGAAAATTGCTTACCCTTTGCTCATTAACTCGGACAGGCAAGTAGGCATCAATGTGCTTTTCAGGATCAAACGTATCCTTTGGATCTTCTTCTTTCATGACTGCATCCTTCAGGTTTTCCAGCTCTTTAACTACTGCATGCTGCATATCAGAAAACCGTGGTGTTTGGCATTCTTGTAACTTTTTAAACAAATGGTTACAACACAAGACCCGTACAAGTCATTTGTTAGAAATTGTTCATGCTTTGGGCTTAGGAGGCATTATAATGTTGTTTTCATCAGGATGCTCATGTTTATATTGATCAAAGAACTTACTGTTGGACTGCTGTCCGTTGGACTGCTGTCCATTTCAATGAAAACAGCTTGCATCTTGCCATAGATTTCAGAGTTGCTAGCTTTCTGCTTGATGCTTTCTTTGGCACTTGCCACCATCTTCCTTCGAATCAACTGCAAATGATCATCAAACAGATTTTATATGCATCTAAGAGGCGCTCAGTTAATTAGCTTAGGAAGTTCTCTTTTGAAATTCCGTAATTTGACCTGTCGTTTGAGGACAGCAAGGCTCTTAGTATGCATAGGAGACTGTGGTAGAACACCATTAGAAGGAGGTAGCCCAATTAATCCACAAAGCAATGTCTGAAACCAATCAGTCAATAGTAGAACATTAATTTGATGAAACAAATAGCCAGCTTTAAAATACGAGGATGATGCGTACCATAAAGGCCAGTAACAAGATGTCATAATGGTACGCAGAAGGATTTTTGAGATGGAACTCCTTCTGTTGTGCCATCTGGGATGCAACACTGTGGTCAAAAAAGTAGAGCCCTGCGATCATCAGAGCAGGAATAAAGGCAGCAAAGATGTATGCTGGAGAGACATTTCCCATATCCTGCAATTTGATGCAAACAAAGAATGATCCATTAGTGAAAAAAAGAAAAAATATTGCATTAGAAATTCCAATCAAGATTTGGGTTACCTTGATGACAGTCCAGTGATCTAAGGATGCAGAATCCCATGGAAGAGGGCTAACAAGTTTTCTGGGAACCCCAGAAGGAACTTTGCTTGGTACACTAAATGCAAGTGCTGCCCATGCCACAACCATTAATGGAACACCATAGTCTGCAATGAAACTTCTAAACCATCCTGTACAACATGGTGCAAAAATTTCAAAAATTTAGGATTCGTTAACGATCTCCAAATATTTTTAAAAGTTTTAACATAAATTTAGGAAGAACAAATATTTTAATTTGGCACCTTGATTTTAGAAGGGTTTAAGGAGTTCCATATCTTTAATAAATAAATAAATAAAATAAAATAAAACTCAAATTGAATAGGATAAAAGGGTATTTTAGGAAAATAAGGATAAAAAATTGATATGTCATAATAATTAATGTCTCTCTTAAACTACATAGAAAATCAAAGAGAACTAACACTTGGGTATAGAGAGGGAGTAGAAGTGTGCTTCACAAACCTGTGCCATACCACCATGCTCTGGCCCTTCTACTTTTTAAGGCAGTATAAAGAAGGCCAAAAGTAAATATGATACCCAATAGTCCATTAGTGTAAAGCCATTGAAATTGATACTTATCTAACTTCGGGTCTTCAGCTTTCGGAATCTCAAACTCGCTGACCATGCCCTGTGATCCAAATATTGCGCAACTTGTTTAATTACCTTAGTATCCTCACAGTTGTCAAGTTATTGATTGTACTTACCCTGATAGCCTCTTGGATGAATAAAACGGCAATCAACATGCCGAAAAGTTCGCCTGCTACCCGAGTAAACCGATTGATTATAGCACAAACATTGAATATTGCAAGAAGAGACAGCAAAAGAGCTGTCCAGACACAAACCCTGCAGAAGTCACCAGAAAATTGAATACATTAAAAAAATCCAGATATAAGCATTGCTTTTGAGCAAGTGACAAAACAAATATCTCATACCATCCAGCCCAAGCCAAGAAGAGTTTTTGCCCTAAATCTTCCCTTCCTTTGGCAAAGTTGTACAAATAAGTGTACATTATGACAGTTGGTTCTGCAACTCCTAATATTAAAAGGGGTTGCCCACCGAGTATCGAGTGTATGATCCCACAGATAGCAGTGGAAGCTAATGTTTCTACTGTGCTCAAGCTTCCATCTACAAACAGTAAATTGTGAGAGTTACATTACTTTCCCATTCCTTAAATACAACTATAGACCTGTGATGAAGACAAAACAGTGCAGCAAATAGTGCAAAGAGATTTGTTTAATAAACAATCAAATATAGCCTTAGGATTTCATTTTAGTAGTCTGTTTCTATGCACCAAGTCGCAATGTATTAGATTCTCCAATTTATCAGTGGTTTTGCTTCTCAGGATTGCAATTTCCTTTCCTGCTCTTTCATTTTCTAAGGAAAAAAAGAGGGAATTACCACGATTTCTACAAATCCGATTATCTACCTTTTACAGGGTTACAATTTTCTCAAGAAAAGTAAATAGGATATTAACATGGAAAGGAGGGGAAGGAGCAGCGACCTGTATCTCTATTAAGTTGCTCGCCGAAGGCAATAACAGGAAGGGCTGAAGCGAAGAATATGTATGTAGTTGGTGCTAGTATACTGTCAGAAAAGTTAGAAAGAAAAATGTACATAAATTTCAAAGCCAGGATGTCAAGATTATGTTACTTGAGTAATAGGTACCTGGATCCAGAAAGAATGCCAGCAACCCAATCTTGTTTATAGCAAGCTGCTCTTGCTCTAACATCGGTTAGGATACCTCTAAATGGAGTTTTAATGTACTCCATGATCTCTGAATTCCAATATAGTATTAGTAGCTCAATTACAGTCAGATAAAAAAGAGAAGTAAAGAACAGAGGTGCGGGAGAGGGGGGAAATTGGCAAAACAGAGGATTAGAAAACTAGAGAAAATTAAATGTTCTTCAAGACCTGTACCAAAAAAACTCCTTGCATCAAAACGTTACTTGAACGAATAAATAGATGAAAGGGCACAAGGGAAAACAGAACGACATTTAAAAAAAGAAAGAGAAAATGTTTAACTTCAATGCTGAAGTAATGAAATATAAGAGGATTGATGGAGCAAAATCTTATATATTTTCCTTACAAATAATGAAATCAAGAAACGAGAGAAATGAGAAGAAATTTAGATTTTGTTTCTTTTTCTTCCATGTATCTTACCAAAACAATGAAGGGTTGGCTTTTTGATTTTTTTCCACAAACAAGAAACTGGGAAAGGAAAGTAAACCAGGAACAAGAAAACCAAGATTACTTGAAAACCAAGACAATCAAGTCTTGAAAATGCAGCCAAGAAGTGGAAAAGAAACGGTAAAGCAAGCAGAAATGTGTGAGTCCTTGTATGAGTAAAACAGTAGTGCCGAAGAGAATTTAGAGAAAGATATACCAGAGAGAGAGTGCTAGTTTTTCTTTCCAAGGCAAGGAGGAAATTCACCTGGAATTTCGGTGGAGAAACCGAGACCAAGTGTGTGTTTCTGTTGTGTGTGAAATAGTATATTTCTACTTCAGTTGGCGGCTTGAAGCAGAGAACTTTGCAATCTCTTTTATTGATAGAGGCAGGCTCTCTCATTCAATGTTTGCTAGCATGGTCCCTCCTTATATACTTTATATTAATGCAGCCCTTGTACTTTATATTGTCGTCTTTTAACATGGTCCTTCCATCCCAATTCCTTCTCTACAGGTTTTATTTTAACGGTTAACTGCAGAACGTTAAGCTAACAAAAATAATTCTTTTTTAATTAAAATGAACTTGTTAATAAACTTTCTTGAACAAAAAAACATATTTATTTCATTCTTTTAATTAACTTACCAAATTCGAAATTTATTAATAGTCTCATATTTTTGCGATTTATAATAATATACAAACTACTAGGATAGAAAATTTTCTCATCTCATTTTTTTTTCTTTACTTCTTTTTCATTCTATGTCACCAATCTTCTCTTGTTTCTTAACACAAACAAATTTATACACATAACAATAAATTACAAGCACATTTGAAATCCAATTCTATGTTCAAATCAACTACAAATTCAATTGTTTCATAATTTTTTGGTGAAAAACAACAACTTGAATGATGAATTTTTTGAAATATTAATATTTTTATTTACTAATATTGGTGGAGGTGTAGATAGAAAACTATCACTAATAGTGGTGGGCGTTCATGAACAAACCCAAATCCAAATGATTTTTCAAAATAAGATTCAGTTTTGAAATTAAAGAAAAAACTAGATATCCATTTTTATCTATTGTTTTTGTTTTTATTTTTTTCCAAACAAAGAAATAGACTTTGAACTTATTCTTGAGTTTACAATCTAGGTTTTAAGCTTATCATAAATCTATTTTAAGTTTATAATATTGATTTTTAAACAATATATATAGAGAGAGAGAGAGAGATTTATTTTAGTATTTGTAACTAAAAGGATTTATGTATTTTTTAAATTTTTAGTTTTAGTTTTTTTAGCTTTTCTTGTACAACTCAGTTCAAGCAAATAGCACGTTCCAAAGTGACAGCCAAATTAACAACTGATAGGGAGGAATTGAAACCAAAGGACCACGTTAACAGATGGAAAGATTGTACAGAGGCTGAATTAAGAAAATTATATGTTAAGGGACCGCATTAACAAAACTTGAATAATAGATAAGCCATCAAGCCAATTATGCCGACGCCGGGAGAGAGGGGCAAAATCTTAATTCTTTCTTCAGAATAGACCTGCGCGAGAGACTCTCCACGGGGATGTGGGCCCACGGAGTTACTTGTTCGTTCAATCGTTCGTACTGAAGTTAGAAAACGTAGGGTGCTGTGCCACTAAGGCATTGCCGGGTAATTAGTACGACCTAAGAAAATGAATAGAAGTCAAACATTGGGAAAAAATATAAGGAAACTCATCAAATTTCCTACTTCTGATATAAATGGATCGCGAAAGTTTTCTCTCGCTCTCTCTCTCTCTCTCTATTGGTTCAAAGGTTTTCTCCATTTTTATTTTTTTAAATAGAAAATTGAAGAATGCATTCAATATTTATGATCAGAAATAGGGAAAATTTTTCTATTTAAATAAAAATATATGTGTTATAAAATAATAAATATTCATTTTATATTTTCATTAGTCTTTATTCTTAATATGATTCAATTCACCATTCAAGAAATTAAAAAAAAAAACGATACAATTGATTCAATTATTTATGCACTTTTAATTGTTAATAGTCTATTTTAATTCTCTTCTTAATGTTGAAGTCTATAAATAGACTTGATTATTCATTGTTTTATGTATAAATATTTTGTAGAAATTAAGAGAATTATTTAGAGTTGTTATCTCTTGTATTCTTTTTATTTTATAGTGAAATCATTTCTCCATCATTTTTCTTTCGAATTCTATCATTGTTACTATTTTGTTTTATAACACGTTATCGGCATGAAGCTCTAACTAATCAAGATAATAAACTAAAAAGCATGTATCTATCAAAAGACTTGATTATTTGTTTCAATCATTGGATTGTTTTCTCTATACGAATGCTCTATCAAAAGATTTAAATTATCTAAATTATTAAGAGGTATGTATCTAAGTTATCATGTATTCCGAATTTAATGATACATAAAATATATATTTAAAAAACTTAAATAATTTAGTATATATAATCTAATGATCTAATATATATTGTTTGAAAAGTTTAAATTTTATTATTAAATTTTGTTCTTATTTCCCGATATTGTTATTATTGTTACAATTTGCATCATAAACTTTTTATCATATCAAATATCATAAAATTTGATTTTGTAGCTCTTGACATTTCGGACAAGAACTATTGATCATAGGTGTTTGACGTTGAGTAAACATCTTCTACTTTTCACATCTCGAAGATGTTTCTATAGTAGCAATATCGAGAAAAAGATTTTAAGAAATCTTCCGAATCGATTTCATACTTGCTCATGGCTAAATAAAATAATGAGTCGTTAATGAAAAATAATAAATCTCATCTAACTAGATCTACTTTATTCCTTGAATTGAATGTGACAACTTATAATAATTTTGGATACGGATGAAGATGTGATCATAGCCATGGACGTTGTTGAAATAATTATCATTATGATCATGATGACTATAATAATACACCTCATCATCGAAGTGGATAAACTTTGAAAAAAAAACAAGAAAGGAATAAAAATAGATTAAGTTAGTATTCTAAAAATGAATGTTATAAATGTGGTATAAATGAATATTGGTCGCATACACCAAAGCATCTCATTGAGCTTTATCAAGTTTATCGAAAAAGAAAAATTAAAATACAAAGACCATTTTTATATATCGAAATAATAGTAATTGAAATCAATTACTTGTTAGTTTTTTTAATAATTTTATATTTTTTATAATTTTTATCGTATAATAATAGTTACAAATTTATTTATTTATTAATGAAGAAATTTAAATATTTATTTATTTAATTATTTATTTTATATTTGATTATATCAATGCAATAGAAGGATATAAATCTGAATAGGCCATCAAACCAATTATCCCGACGCCGAGAGAGTGTGGCAAAATCTGAATTCTCTCTTCAGAGTAGACCTGCGCGAGAGACTCTCGAAGGGGAGGTGGCCCCACGGAATTGCTTGTTCGTTCGTACGGAAGTTGGAAAACGTAGGGTGCAGTGCCACTAAGGCATTGACGGGTAATTAGTACGACTTAAGAAAATGAATAGAAGTCAAATATTGGGAAAAAAATCTAAGGAAACTCATCAAATTTCCTAGTTATTATATAAATGAATAGCGATAGTTTTTTTCTCTCTCTCTATTGGTTCTAAGGTTTTCTCCATTTTTATATTTTTTAAGTAGAAAAGTGAAGAATGCATTCAATATTTATGATTAAAAAAAATTTTTATTTAAACAAAAATATATGTATTATGAAATAATGAATATTCATTTTATATTCTCGTTATTTATTATTCTTAATGTCATTCAATTTATCATTCAATATGAAAAATTAAAAAAAAATACAATTGATTCAATTATTTATTCACCTTTAATGGTTCATAGTTTCTTCAAATTCTCTTCCTAATCTTTAAACATATAAATTGTATTGATTGTTGATTATTTTATGTATAAATATTTTGTAAAGATTGACAGAATTATTTAGAGTTATTATATCTTATATTTTGTTTATTTAACAATGAAATCATTTCTCCATCATTTTTCTCTCCAATTCTATCATTGTTATCATTTATTTTAGAACAACATCCACATTATAAATATTTTTAATACAAAATTTAAAATAGTAGTTTACTAACCATCTATACATTTAATACTTATAAAAATCTAACCAAAAGCTATTATTTTTGTTTTATTCAAATAAAAACTTACAAAAAGAAAAAGAAAAAGATTACACTACTTAGTAACTCATTAAAAAGAGATCATTTACGTAAAACATATAAGGAAAGTATTAATATATGATACTAACTAATCATGAAAAGACAAAAACTAACACTTCAATTTATTTTATTATTATTATTTTGCGTAATAAAAGTGTGTTTTTATAAAAGAGATTGCTTGTATTGTTTAACAATTTCACTAGAGTCCCTCTCAATGAGGCTAAAGGAGGAGATAAGTTCCCAAAACCATATTAACAGATCGATCAAGCATGATCGTTCTAGTGCTGTCAAAAAGATGTTAGTTGAATAACTCACCCCTGTAAATTTGAATTGAATTATGAGGAATTAAATTACGAAAGAAAAATTGCCATCCATTAATTCAAATGTACGTAATCTCTTGGTAAGAATAATTTAAGCAAAATTTTTAAATTAGCTTATACATATAGAGAGAGAGAGAGAGAGAGAGAGAGAGAGAGTATTCCATCCCTAGCGAGTCGGGTGAAAAGTCTCGTACTAAAGAATAGGGATTCTGTCAATTAAATGATTTAACGTCCTTATATTTTGGGTGCATTAGTAATAACATGTGGTCTCATCCATCCCTAGCAAGTAGGGTGAAAAGTTTCCGTACTAAAGAATAGGGATTCTGTCAATTAAATGATTTAATGTATACTTTGAGTGTATTAGTAATAACATATATATATATATATATTTGTCAGTGATTTCGAGTTCAAGTTATATTTCATATTCAGATCAATACTTAATTGATCCTAACTGGACTCGGACGGTTCGGGTCAGCTACCGGTTTAACAAAAATAATGGAGTGCTATTAGAATGACTGTAATTATGACTTGGCCCAAAACAATAATAATAATAAAACTGTGATTAATGTTGCAGCTCTATGTATCCCTCCTTTCAAACTTGTGCAACTTCCTCCTCTCGCTCCAAAAAGAAAACTACGTATGTACTACTCTAATGACTAATGAAATTGTTCCTAAAGGATTTGGTCTCCGGCGCTCGTCTTCATATTGTTTTATTTTACTGTACCAATCAGATAGTGCTAAAATGTTTACAAAAGCTAACAGTTAACTCAGACACTAAGACAAGTTAAAATATTATCAAACAGTTAGATGATATAGCCATAATTAATTTCGAAACATCCAGAGCGTTGAGATCTGAACATGACGATGGAATCTAAATATTAAACGAATCAACCGTCCGTTAATATATATATATGGTGTACGAGATATCATATTTTTGTTGTATTTTTATTCAGGCAGTTTAGTCCATTATAATATCCTACTAGGTTGGTGACAATAGAACGAGTAAGATTAGTACAAGCCATAGTTTGTTGCGTGATTTGTATATATCTGGATAAAACATAATTAAATGATTGTTGTTTTGTGTTTAATTGACTGATTTTATATATTAATGTTTGGGGGAATTATTTAATATATATACTAATATTTCTGTACGGGCTATTAGCCATCATCCATTAAAGTATCTTGTCATCCCAAACAAGTTTATTAGATCAAAAAACAGGATATTAACTGTTCTTTTGTGTAGGAGTGAGCATTAGTAGTATTGGATTTTATATGATTCTATCTGTTGTCATTTTGAATAAAAATTACCGATTTTCAGTCTTTCAGCTATAGTTTTGTTGTGTTCTTTTTTGACAATATTTAATTAACAAATAAACCTCGTTTTCTTTACAAATGGCTGCCTTAAAGAATTAACAAGAAAATTAGCAAGTACATATCGTTAGTAAAAACAAATCAATATATATGTCGAAAAAGTCTAAATAAAAAGTTTTATATAGATAGGTTGTTTTCATTGTTGACTCCAAGGCATGGATCTCGCATAGGCAAGAGAAAAATGCACCCGTACCCAAAAATGACTATGACTATGACTATTTACCAAAAACAATTGACTTGCAATTTAATTATATCCAAACACAAGAAATATAGAATAAAATTTAGAGGATTCTTGAGAATTAATCATATGACTGATTAGCAAGCCAATCAAGATGCGAGAAAACTAGTTTTATAACTCATAAAAGCATGATCAACTAACCAAACAAAAAAGATATAAATAGTGAGAGGCATGGAAAAAGAAGAAGAAGATATTCCTAGCCGGGCGCAAATCATATGGCTAATCGATGGGTAATCAAGGTCTAAATAGATAGAGGTTTAGATGTTGTGTGGTGTGTGAATGAGAGAGTTTTGAGATAGAAAGTTCAATTTCTTGTTTATTTATTTATTATTTTTTTTTTTGCTAAAGATTGAAAGTTCTAGAGTCCAAAGTTTCTTGATGCAAAATTTTCGATTTACCTACAATGATGTGATGTTGGTATTTATAGTTAAAAAAAAAAAAGACAATCCTTGACCAATAGGATCATGTCATGTCATTCAAGTTCGGATGGTCGGATTTAGCTTGCATAATTTAGATTCTTTTGACTAAACTACTTCGACTTATTAGTAAAAGCTAAATGAAGTAACAATTGGATCTTTTTTCGACAAAACCTACTTCGATCATACCAAAACAATCTTCTTAATGCATCCCAATAATAAAGCATGGATATTTTCTATTAAAATATATGTATCCATCCTTGCAATTCAAAACTTTATATTGAGTTAGATTCATTTGTCATGCAATTTGAACTATATCAAAATAATATAATAATATAATAATAATAATATGAATTAATAAAGAATAAAAATTAGCTAAATTAATTAATTAAAATATCAAGCATATAGTACACATCCTATGACTATTTACCAAATACAATTGACTTGTAATTTGTACGTATCCAAATACAAGAAATATAAAATAAACTCCTCGATTGTGAAAAGAATGGAAGCTCATTTGATTCATTCAAACATAGTGTAATTTTAATTTTGGGAAGAAGAAAAAAATATGGAGAAGAAAAGGACCATTTATCCTATATGCTAGTTTGTGTTATCCTATGTATTGTATTTTACAATAATAACTTTCTCTTCTTTAAATTATGGTTCATGGTTCTTAAGACAACCCCACTTGAGTTTATAATTTTTCTAATATAATAAAATAATATTTTTCTTATTTTAATTGGCCCAAAAACACCAAAATGGGTTTGGATAACTCTGTATTATCTCATCCAGTCGGATGGGATAAATAACTTAAAAATTTGCTTAGTTGGGTAATTAAAAAAATACAAAAATATTTTACCATTCAATTCTACTTATTCTAATCCGAATTACCGACATATTCACCATACCAAATTGCTTGCCCACTATATAACAAGCATGAGCAAGCATTTTTAAGGTTGGTGCTTTCACTTTCATCGTTTATGTTTACGTTATTAAAGGACCATCTCACCTAAAAGCTTAAGCTTATAGGTGAGATCCTAGAATATAATTTATACTAGTCTCTAACACATCCTCTCAAGTGAAAGGCCCAACATTTGGGGCATGAAACTTGTACGGGTCTACATTGCCTTGTGCTTAATACTTGAGAAATTAGAGATGATGAGACTTGAACTCGGGACCTCAAGGTCAACCAAGCTTTGATACCATATTAAAGGACTATCTCACCTAAAAGCTTAAGCTTATAGGTGAGATCCTAGAATATAATTTATACTAGTCTCTAACATGCATATATGTAGCCAAAGGTGTCTTGCTCAAGTTGAGTTTGCAACTTTACAAAGTCTATATTATTCCCAAATTGGAGTCTACGAATATTTCACTTATGTTCAACCAATCCAGCAAGAGGCTTATACTTATAAAAGATTGTCGATTTCAATTACCAAGATATACACCAAACCTCCATGCAAAATATCTACTGGTAACATTTTAACTTTAACTGAATCATATATAGGATAACATGCTAACATAAAATTTGACCCAAAATCTCTTAAAATATTACCCCAAAGAAAAGCTAATTGAAACAGAAAAATAAGACATGTTGATGTATGATAGTTTTCTTTGATTCGTTCATATGAAATTCGGCTAAATTATGGCATTTTTTTTATAAAAAAAAGGCAAAAGAACTAGAGACACATGTATCTATACTTGACTAGAAGCTCATAAAATTTTGTTTGGATCTTTACAAATGACGCTATCAATGACACACATTTCTTTTTCGTTTGGTCTACCAAACAAATTGGAAGAGAGTAATAAATTAATGATCGACAAAAGAATATTGAACTAGTTAGTTTCAACAATTTATACTGTCAACTTATGGTTTGGTAAACTGCGCCAGAAGATTACAAACATCACAAACTCATCTCTAACGTTTGCCTAATTGAAAATTAGTTCAAATTTTGACTTTTTGTTAAACCTGACTTTGTTTCTTTATTTGTTTAATTGCTAACGTTGTCACAGATCGAAAAACACATCCACTAATGCTGAGTATATAAAAAAGATGCAAATTATTTATCAGTATTTGACGCATTTACGCATTTAAAGATTCGCTGACCAGCTTGGTTGGTCCCATATGGATTTGGGAGAGGCAGCAAATCAATCACTTGGATAATCAATACACGACTTAATATATTACGAAGACTATTAACAGCATAGATATCAAATCCGGATCTGTTTGGCTGATCGATGTAAAAATCCAATAATTTGATATCCATGAATTAGGTTTGAAGTTAGATTGTACAAGGTAACGAGATGATTTTATGAAATCTGATAATCTAATTGACCAAGACGATCGAGTCGAGAGGTTGGATTACCAAAAAAAAAAATTCAAATTCTTTTGCGTAGAATTTGAATATTGTTTGTTTTTTTTTTTTTTTTTTTTTTTTTTATCAACTACAAAAGTTTTACCACTTACTAAGATCAACACATTTGATATAACTTACTTTTAACATTAGATGTACAATTTTAATATTAATATTATTATACTTGACTAATTGGATCAACCTAACCCAACGAATTGCCTACAATCCAAAGCTATGATGGGATTATATCTCGGATCAAGTCTGACAACTATGATTAAAAATCTATAGTTAATTATGCTTTTGGTCTAAATTTTACTGTTTTTGTGGGTGTAAAAACTAAAAACTGTTTGGTAATATGTGTTATTAAATTTTACTATTATATTACTTTGGAAATTTTATTAGAATGGATACTTGGAATCGGTTTTCATAATAAATAAATAGCGTTTCATTTATTTTATTTTCACATAGCGAGTGAATTAGGCTATATATTCCTCAAACTAAGTTTACTAAAGGCATAAAGCCATAATGTAAAGAAATTAAAACTAAATGTGGTTTTGTTGTAACTAAACCCACCAGTTATAGTAAACAAAATAACATCATTTTATTTTCTTTTCTTTGAAGTTATGACATTTTATTTATGTGTGTGTGTGATTGTTTGAAAATTTGATGTGTTTTTCTACACTTTAGTCTTAGAATTCTAATTTTGTACGAAACAATCCTTAAACTTCATTTGTATTACAATAAGGTCCTGAATGTTAGGAAGGAGAAAGAAGGCAAAGAAAGAGAGGAGGGTATGTTTTTAGATTGTTAGGATCCATCGGAACGGTTTTTGAGTTTCAAAATGGGTTTTTGCATGTCTTCAAAATGAATTTAGATGAAAATGATGTAGAAATTGATTATAGAGGCCAAAACCATACATCAGCTCTCTCTTTTTTTATAGCAACCAAATGTTCAATGGAAGTTGTAGACAACGGTGCTTGAAAAATAGTAGACTTAATTTTGATTTATGAGAAAGATAACTCAAAAATACTTCATTATTTATAAATATAAAAATTTCTCATTTTTCTTATTGTGACTCTAGACATATATTGTTAATGGACTCAAATAGTTTAACTTTTAAAATCAATAAAAAATTAGGAGTAATTATGTACTAATCTAGTCTAAAAATGATAGATTTAATCTCAATTGATGCAAAATATAATTCTAAAATACTCCACATAAATATATATTAAAAAATCCAAATCGGTTTCTCATTCTTTGCATTCTTTTAGTAAACAATGCAATTAATTTGCTATTACTATTTGCCAATAAGTGATTTAGATTATTGGCTGGAGAGTGAATGCCATTGGATTATCAATAAGTTATTGCATGTTGGGACCTTAAGCAGTCAATGCTGGGTAACATGCATGATGCCGACCGTGAAAAGAAATGTCAAGAGAGCATGTGCCTTCCTCCTCAACCCTAAAAACAAATAACTATGACATGTGATAACAAAGCATACAACTGTTAATTAACATGCAAACCTCATTTTTTATGTGTGTATGTGTTTGTCTATGAAACACACACATGAAGACCAAATTAATGATGGATTGCATATAAAAATGCTTAGTGTTAGTACTTAAATAGTTAAATATTATGGGTTGGTTTGTATAATTACAATTAGTCTTTTACGATTTGAAATTAATGATTAATCACGTCGGATCATACTAATTTTTGAATCGTCAAACATCCATTTTATATGTATATTTTAAAAAAAATCCATCCAAATGGTAGATAAAATTTTAAAATTTACTATCCGAAATAGAACTTAAATTCAAGCCCTTCTCGATTTTTAACCACTTGAGATAATAAACCCTAATGGATTTACTTGCAATTTTTTTTTTTTTTTTGGCTTCTCTACATATCTCAATCCTACATTAAATATATGACAAATTTTGAAAATAAAACTAATTATGTTCAGAGATGAAGTAATAAGATTTAACCTTTTTCAACAAGTGTTATTCTAGGATTTCAACCATGTATATTTGTAGAAAATTCATCTAGAAATTAACTTTCTTATCACTCGGACTAACAACTTGTCGGTTACTTGCACTATTCTTTAATAAATACTAAGGGAAAAAAAAACCCTTTTTTATGTTATTTTTTACATTATATATTATTTTATTATTTTCTCAATATCATTTTTCTCCAAATAATTAATGATTATATATATATATATACAACCTAAAAAAATAGTGATTGACCATATTTCTCTTAAATTAATATAAAAATAGCCTCTATTGTTTAAAAAAAATAATTACTTTTTACGATGATTAATTTTCATTTTTTTAAACAATAATAGAGGTTTGATAATTGATAATTAATCAATATAAGATGATATAAAAAAATAAAAATAAAAAACAATTCTAACTGTATATTAACATTCAGAAGAAGAAAAAAAAATCTAAATAACAAGCATATGTAAGATCGATGAAGAAAGAAGTGAGAGAGAATGAAATAGAGAAAGACCATCCATGTTTATTGGCAAGAACAGCTAAGACTAGATGTCTGGCAATTGTTCCATGACGCCCCCATAAACGATTAGCCAAAGACTTGACCAATCCAATTCCCAGTTTCTACCCCAAAAATTGTCCAATTAAGCAGCAGGAATCCCATCCGTTTTTGATAGAATGATTAAGATAAAGTTTAATGAAATCTAGATTTTGGATTCAAGAACAACATGGTTACGATAAGCATCTAAAACGTAAAAGAGTCTTCGGAGGTAGACGGCATGATACGCCACTAAATGAAGGATAAAACAAAAATTATTTCCAGATAGGGAAAAAAAAAAAAGAAGGAAAGAAATGATTTTCATCTACCACCATCATATTATAATTTGTAAATGATATGTGCAATTGCTTAACCTTTCACAACAACTTTTCCAATGTGGAAAAGAGAGGAAAAAAACTTATACAGCTAGCTAATTGCAGCCCATGTTTGTTGTTTGATCATTTTCTGGAGAAATTCTTAAATCCATAATGGTTTTGCAAACCAAAAACCCAATGCTTGATTTTGTTTCGGTCATTGGTGATCTGATCCCATTGTTGGACGGTACAAGTCCTAGTCGACGCTATTTCAACCATCATCTTTTTTTTTTTTTTTTTTATACATGTAACCGTCATTTTAAGAAAGATGGTTAAGAGATAATTTTCTTTGTTTTATTTATTTTTATTTTTTTTGCAGTATGCAATTTAATGTAGAAGGAACACATCAAAATAACCCAAAATTTTAAAGATGATTGATAAATTTATACTAATTTCATTTAAGGTAACTATATAACGCGTTTGTAAAAAGAAATTATTACATCAGCTCGATCAAATCGAAAAATTATTTTCATTTACCCTCCTGGCAAAGTATTGGAATCCATTAGACCAACAAATTCAAACTGTTTTAATACAATGGACCTAAGATTCCACACCCCCCCCCCCCCCCCCTCTCTCTCTCTCTCTCTCTCTCTCTCAAATTAGGCATAGTTGATCAAAAGAGCAACATTTGTTTTTCTTCATATACACCCACACAATGTATTTGAATGATGAAAATGACAATTTTGGATTCAAACGGGTTTAGAATGGTCCTGTGTATAATTATCATTTTTCAGTTTAGTAGTTGGAATGGAATTTCGCCTTGTTTTGCGGGAAAACGCCTAGACTCTTTCCTTGATTTTTACTTCTTCAAGGGCAAAACGTTGGATACTATTGACTAATCATGTTTGGAAAGTCTTGCAATTACGAGTAAAGCGTTAACTTAGAACAACATAACTTCAAATTTTGAGTTGAAAGTTTTGTAGGATCGAAAGTCTTGATTCACATTCAGGCCTTTGATACTTTGTAGTTTTTTTTTTTTTTTTTTAAAAAAAAAACTTTGTTGGAATATTTTTTTTTGTTTGCATTTGTTTTGATAAATACCGGTCTGTCAATGCCAAAATAAATAAATAAAAAATGTTATTAATCTGTCTTCATCAAATACTTGGATTTTTTTTATTACTATACATATTGTACGAAGTTGGGAAATTTACCTCCATGATTTTTAGATCCATTTATATTTTCCAGGAGACTAGTTATTACTGGAGAGAGAGGAAAAGAAGAAGAAGAAGTTCCAGGCCTTCTTATCCCATTGATGAGAATTCACATTTTTATGGGGACCGAATTCCAGGTCCATTAAGCCCACAGGTACTTGGATTTTTTAGCTGAAAAGAATTAGGAGGAACCAACAACGTGGATTTTGGATGCAATTGAGTAATGAACCCAGCCCAGAAAAGCTGGAAAACTCCCAGATAACTAGTAGGTTCTAGAATAAGCATCGTCAAGCACCACGTGGATTATGGTTCCTTGGCAACCTAAAAATCTTCATGAAATGGGCTTTCGCAACCTAACCTAAGAACTTGAAGCTATGTAGTTTAGCCACGAATATTTCTACGTAATAATAGGTGATAAAAAATACTTCGTGTGTGTATATATGTATATATATATATATACACCGTAAAAGAACATTAAAATAGTAATTATGGAAAAAGTATTTTTGATACATTTTGATGTAAAAAAAAAAAAATTGCAAAATCCATAATGCGTCACATTGCATTTATAATTTTTTTATTACATTATTCGTTTTTTAAAAATTTAATTTGGATTTAAAAGATTTTAAAATTTTGATATTTATTCAATTATAATAAAAAACAATTATAGAGGAATACTGGTTTGATCATTTCATGAAACTCTAGGGTTGAATTGACTAGAATATGACGTCCAAATCCTTCTTGCATGTGACGGAAACATCTTTCTTCACATCAACAATCATTTAATGTTCTAGTAACACTACATTTTTTGTGCTTCAATTAATAAGTAATTCATTTGATCAATCCTTCTTTATTGGAAAATAATTTTTCAACAATCAAAATCTTTCCATGAGAGGATTTTTTTTTCATTTTTTTTTAATTTTCAACTAAAAGGATTAGCTAATTAAAATATTGGATAATATTTTTTTATAACTATGCAATGCTTATAATTTTGGTGACATGATGATGCTAGTGTTAATCGCACTATCAATCTTGCAAACATGAACGTGTTCCGATTAATATAATATAAGCAGCATACGAAGATTTGAAAATGGCCATGGTAGTAAAGTAGACTAGGATAAAAGTTGGGAGTAAATTATAAACTAGTTTTGAGTAAATAATTTTTTAGTTTTCATAACTAATTAATTAGTTCTTGTGTTTTTAAATCCATTTGCAACTTAATATTTTTTATTTATTAATAAATAGAAAAAAGAAAGTAAACAAGTAAAAAAAATATAAAAAGAGTGACTAAAAATTTTTTTTAGATCAAATAATGTTAAATTATCCATTGTCAATTCTGATCAAGAAAGTAAATAATTAATTTTTTAATTCTTTGCAAAACTAAAGGGACTAAATTATAATTTACTCATAAAGGTGATATCAACTAACTTAATTAGTTATCAAAATGTTTTTTAATATTACTTCTTCTTCTTCTTTTTTTACTTTAATTCATATTATTATAAGTTAAGAGAAACAAAAACAATGTAACATTTTGCTAACAGTAATTTGTAAAAGAATTCTAAATACACGTGTAAATTGATATAAATAAAATATTTATCGTCCATAACTGAATTGATTTGTTTTTATAATTGAACAAAATCATAATTTATAATTTAATATTATTAACAATGAAAAATAAAAAATATTTCATTTCCATCAAGTAATGTGTATCTTTAGCGTTCATGTTAGTAAAATCCATTTAATAAAATTATCCTATAATCATCCAAACCCTTAATTCTGTGTGTTTTTGTTACTCGAAACAGGTTCTTTTGTCAATTGCAATGAGCAGGGTGAAACAGAACATAGTGCAAAACAATAGGGGTTGAGTTTATATTTTAAAAAGAAGCAGATCCTTAATGCAAAGAGACCAAGAAAAAGCAACCGAAAAAGAAAGAAAGAAAGAAAGAAAGAAAATCAACCCTATAAAACCAGTCCCCATCCCATTTTAGCCTTCTGCGATTAGCCCTCACATAGTAGTAGCTCTCTATCTTTTTTATTTCTCATTTCATTTTTTTTTCTTTTTTTGATGTATTAGTAAAATTAATTTTTCATAGAAAACAATTTAGATAGCCTTAGCAAGAGTAAATCATTGCTTTAGCCAGCAACATGCCCTGCAATATAAAGAGAAGGAGATTAATTTTGACATCAAACTTTGCTGTGTAGTTGAATAGGTGAATTGGGTTTTGTGTCAGTGTTTTGGTTGTCTATAAAAGAGCAAAAAGAAAAAGAAAGAAATCAAATATTTTTCTTTTTTTGGGTCCTTGGAATTTTTGATCCATTAGGGTTTTTGGGTTTTGTTGAATCTTCTGTTGTTGTTGTTCTTGTTGTTTGAGAGTGAAAAATGGACAAGAAGAAGGTGGCAGTGCCATTAGTGTGCCATGGACATTCACGTCCTGTTGTGGATTTGTTTTACAGTCCTATCACTCCTGATGGCTTCTTTCTCATTAGTGCTAGCAAGGGTATGTTTGCTCTCTCTCTGTTTTTTTTTTCTTTTTAATTTTACGTTTATCTATTGTTTTAAGCAGTGAATTTTATACATTTTCACGTGGGTATCTGTTTGTTAACTGTGATTTTGGATTCCATAATGGAATTGGGTTTCCTTTAAATAGTCATATAGTCATTACTCATTAAGGATATTAGGTCATTTCTGTTACTTGTAAATTTTGAATTGTTCTTACATTCATCTCACTTAGTTGAAAGCTTGGTCTAGGTTTTGTTAACTGCTTTTAACCTTGATTTTTTTTCACCAATTTAGTTGTATTTAAGACAGTCAATCAGTGATCTTTTGGTTATTTTGGATTAGGAATCGAGATGTCAACACCGATCATTATTATTTGTTTAACCTTGAATTTGGATCCCATATCTGAATTCTGAATCGGGTTTTCTTGATTGTGTTTCCCCATTTACCTTGTTGTCATTTTGATACAAGTAACTGCAAAAGTAGCTGTTAATCAGGCATGCTTCGAGAAGTTTGATACTGTTTGTCTTGTTATTTGGAAATATAGCCTGTATTCCCTTACATAGTTAATTACTGATAATTTTCTAATCCCTGGGGAAGCTTGCTCCGAGGTTAAAAGACAGGTAAATTATTACCAGAATAGTTATTACACTTGCAGTTGTTTAGACTGAAAGTTTTAGTTATTAATGAATTTTGGTCACAACAAAATCTAAGGGAAAAATTGTTAGTGAACTTTTCTCTTAAGAGTGGTTATTTTAGTGTTTCCAAGTGTAAATTAGGTGTCAATAACTTAATTCTTGAATCAGGTTTAGAGGTGCAAATTTTTTTGTTTAAAAGAAAATGAAAATGAAAAAACGGGTAAATACCTTTTCTTTTCTCCTATTTACTATGGCAACAAAGAATCAAATGGTCATTATCTTTAGTCCTTGTTCCACCACTTCTTCCAAAAGCAAGATAACCTGAATGGGTTGTGGATCATTTTATCATTTCTTTGGCTAATGTGAACTTAAGTCATGAAAATACTGAACTAGGATTTGCGTAATGATTGATTAGTCATTTGTTAACTGAAAATTGGGGTTGAACCTCTATTCATTGAGACCTTGTAATTCCTCACTTCAAAATAACATTATCCTTTGAAATTCAGATTCTAGTCCAATGTTGAGAAATGGGGAGACTGGTGATTGGATTGGAACCTTTGAAGGGCACAAAGGTGCAGTGTGGAGTTGCTGCCTGGACACTAATGCTTTGCGTGCAGCATCTGGCTCTGCTGATTTTTCTGCGTATGTTATTTATGTTTTGAAATTCATCAATATTTATTCCCATTTGAATTCCTTTCAAGTGACCTGTTTACTTCCCCAATCAGGCAATTTCCTTTTAAGACCCCCTCTCTCTCGCATGTTTGCGCACATGGTGGCAAGTGGAAAGATGCTACATGATCAACAAATCACAAATTCAATCAATTTAGAGAGGTTCTATAATATGTCTGGTATATTGTTTGCAGGAAATTGTGGGATGCATTGACAGGTGATGAATTACACTCTTTTGAGCATAAGCATATTGTTCGAGCATGCTCATTTTCAGAGGTAAAATTGAAATTACCGTGTATTCTATTCTATACGTTATTTTCTTGAGTCTGATTTTATTTGGTTTATTTCTAATGTTCTTTCATTATAGAAGGTACTGCTTTGTCAATAGCACAAGAAGGGAACATCTTTATGTGTCTTTAAATGTCCAAGGTGCCATAGTCTTCACATTTAATGACAGAGTGGCATGCTATTGAATTTAAGAGGAGTCAACATATGATTGAACATCAAAGAAGATGCTTAAACCAAATTCCAAACAATTCTAGCTGTTATAACAATGTTGTTTTCTGCTATTTGTTTGAAAGTGCCTTCAAAAGTTTTAATTGTGTCTCAATTGGTGTTAAAGTTATTCAATCAAGCTGATTATTTATGTGTTGGCTTACCTAGTTTTGATTGTTGCAAATATGAACTCAAGCTGGTATTGAAATTGGTTTCTTGGCAGGTATTAGGGCCTGGGCCTTGTTCTGGTTGTGTTTCCTTTTTGTTTTTCTATATCTTGGTGAACCTAAGTTCCAAAACATGATATTTGAGATAGATTATAAGTTGGTAGCTTTAATTTTGATGTCTTTCAATTACGTTGTATGTAAACCTTAGATTTTTTTCAGTTGGATCTCTTTTCCTCTGTTATATTTTTATCGATTCCATTCCATTTTGCTTTTTATATGATCTGTTTGGTTTCTCCTTTTTAGAAAATTATTATTCTAGGTTTGTATAATCTGATTCCCTTGTATTATTATGTAATCACTTGGGTGAGTTTAAATATTAATAATCTTCTGAGTGAAAATTATTATCTCTTTCTTTGGCGTTTCCCTTTGTGTCTTTTGTATACATACAATATCTAAGTTGTTCTTTGTGCAGGATACTCACCTTCTACTTACTGGTGGATTCGAGAAAATTCTCCGTATATTTGATTTGAATCGTCCAGATGCACCCCCAAGAGAAGTTGACAATTCACCAGGTTCAATTAGAACTGTTGCGTGGCTTCACAGTGATCAGACCATATTAAGTTCTTGTACTGATATCGGTGGTGTGAGGTATGGACAGTAATAAATGATCCAGTCTGATCCCATGTGATGTCATATAATCGTTTGCTTTCCTTTGTGTCTGCCCTTTGTTATTTGATTGGTTGAGCTGGGGTATTTTGTGCTGTTATATTGGAGATCTACTTCATTGTGAAGTATCAATATGCAGTTGGTGTCACTAAGCTTCGAGTTGTTTAAACAAACGGGATATGTGAATACAAGTTTGTCAGATCCTCTAGATAGGTACTTGTAATAGTTATCTGATTTTTTTTTTTTAACAAGAAAACCTTTAATGAAAGTTGCTGTTGGTTTCTTTACACTATTTGGCTCTATGTAGAGCCGTATAGGCATATGATCATTGAATAATAAGCATGATTGAAAAATTGAAGAAATTTTTGGGGTTACTTGAACTGAACTTAATTTGATGGGGTTTTCCAATTCAGTTATGTGTTGATGCATTTAGATTTATTTCTGTGTTATTAGAAAGTGATCAAACAATAATAATTTGCAGTCTTTGATCAGAAACCGTTCTAGTAAATTTAGTCAGAGATGGTCACCCAATAAGCCTACTAGTATCATGCGCAATTCTAATCCTAGTTGTTGGATTCAGCACTTAGGCAACCACAAGTTACTACTATCTCTTATTGTTAGATTTAGTAATTGATTGCACTTATTTGCAGTGGCATGCTGTTGATGCGGTATTATTTCCATCAAATGAAAGTCTGTACTCTGTAGACTTAGTTTTGGTTCTAGTGTTCTCATCATCATCCTTGAAGGAGAAGCGGTTAATTGTTTTGCCTTAGTTTTCACACCTTGAGTAGTCTATTGGAAAGTGTGCCTTTTTTTTTATTATTGGTACAGAAGTCTCTCATCTACTTAATCATTATCATCATGGAAGGGAAACAGTTAATTAATTGTCTTTGTTTTCACCGTGAGTGATCTATTATTAGGTACAGAAGTCTCTCATCGACTCATTCTTGTATCTTCATTCTTCTAATTTGATTGCTGACTCTACAGGTTATGGGACATACGAAGTGGCAAAATTGTTCAAACACTTGAAACAAAGTCACCTGTAACAAGTGCTGAAGTGAGTCAGGATGGTCGCTATATAACTACTGCTGATGGATCTACGGTTAAATTTTGGGATGCAAATCAGTAAGTTTTGGTTTTTGGATTCTTCCTTTTGCACTTTGGTTATTTCATAGGCATTGCCTTGTAACTTATCTTTTTTTCATTTCCAGTTTTGGACTGGTGAAATGCTATGACATGCCATGCAATGTGGAATCAGCTTCATTGGAACCAAAATTTGGTAATAAGTTTGTTGCAGGAGGAGAAGATATGTGGATCCATGTCTATGATTTCCATACAGGAGAACAGATTGGTATGTGTAACTGCTCCTATTTTTTATTTTTATTTTTGGAAAAAAATTAAAAAATCAACTTCTAAACACACTTAGTTGGTGATTAGCAGCATCTTTGTGCTTTATATTCCTGTTGAATGGGCAATTTAGAATTTAGAAACTACTGTCCACGAAACTTTTATGTCAATTTATGTTTTCTTTCACGTGAGTAATGCATTGAGGTGCAACGTAATGCAGTTTTGCTATCAGAATATCTGCTGTTAGCCAATGCTTTGGGCCGCATGTTCTTTTACCAGTCTTCAACCAGACAAGAAAATGATGATCTTATTTGAATATATGATTGGTGGTACTGTTGGTTGATGGCCCATGTATGGCCATATTCTATTGATACTTTGCTGATGTTCGAAGTTTCAGTTCTAACCATCATCGTCCACGTGCTTTTTATATGCAGGATGCAACAAGGGTCACCATGGTCCTGTTCATTGCCTACGATTCTCCCCTGGAGGAGAATCTTATGCATCAGGATCCGAAGATGGAACCATCAGAATATGGCAACTGGGCCCTGCAAATCATGATGAGAATGATTCTCTTCCTGGGAATGGACCAACTGGGAAAGTGAAGGTTTCAGCTGAAGACGTTGCCCAAAAGATCGAGGGCTTTCATATCAACAAAGAAGGGAAAACTACTGAGAAGGATAAGGCAACAGATACCTGACTTGGGCTTCATATTGTATCAGGATTTAACTTGTTCTTGTTTGGTTTCTACTTGGGATGTGGACGCGACTTCTTTTGCCATTGATATAAATGGACTTGGAAAAAAAAAAAAAGAAGAAAATTCTGTTTTATATGCTCCTCTGTTTCTGCCTTTATTTGAACCTTTAGTTTTTGATGATGTTGTAAAACCTTAAAGAAAATGACTATACAATTGCTTATAATAGGTTTTTGCTATCTTGATTACCATCTGCATGGGCTATGTCACACGTTATCTTTATGATATTTATAAATTTAGAGGAGAGATATTGGATTGGTTAATAAGACGACTTGCTAATAGTGATATGCTAGCTTATGAACGTGAAGATGTACTTAAGAAACATGGAAGAATGAGGTGAGAAGCAGAGGAAGATAAAGGATGAGGAAAGGATATTTTCATCCATTTCATGTCCCATAGGCTATAGTTGTTTTGCATGGTTGCTAAGGATGTGTAGGGATGGTAATTTACTCGTCTTGATGGAACCCCGTCTTGCCCCTCCTTTCTCCGAGTTGATTGCGGAACAGGATAGGATATCTCACTTCGTATTTATTTTGAATAGAAATAGTATTTATTTTGAATAGAAATAGAGCGGGAATGATATTTGCTCTCTCCATCACTCCATCTTTTAAATTACAATTATAACTTATATAAAATTTATAACCATTAACTCTTAAGATGTATTTTCTATATGAATTATCAATTTTTTACTATAATTTAAAATTTAATAGTAGAATAAAGCGAGACGGAGTGAAAATAAAAAATCAAACGAGACATCGGTGTCTCACGAGGATCCCTATCTCCGTTTGAAATGAGGATGGTATGAGAAATATTGCTTCAAGTGAGATGAGGACAGGGCAAAATTTTCAAGAGCAGGGCAAGGCCTGGGGTGGCTCATTGCCATTCCTAAAGATGTGTATGCTATTCAATTACAATTTTCTTAATGGGCTAAGACAATTTTTAAATGGGCCAACTAAGTATCACAAGTCTTTCGTGAAGGAACTTTATGATAAAAAAAAACTTTAAATTTCAACCTAATTTCATGTTTGTATATTTTTTTTCATATTTAAAATTTTAATATTTTAACAATATTATATTTATTATGAAAATATTATTTTTAATTTTGAATTTGATTATTATGATATTAGATCATAGTAGAACCAAATTTAATCTATTTAATAAATGAGTTAATGGATTTAGATTATAATCAAATTCAGATTAAAAAAATTATTTATCCTATCCATTTAATTACATCGGATTCAGATCAAATTCGGATCAAGATTCTATCAATTTACAACCCTACTCCTAAATTTGAGAGAGAGAGAGAGAGAGAGAAGTAGAAAAAAGAAAATTAAAAATAAAATTTGAGTGAAAATATTTTTATCATTTAGTGAGTCTAGATGTAATTTTTTTTTGGTTTTGCTTATTATGCTTATCGCTTTTCTTCGGGTAAGTTCATAGCGTAAGTATTAATGATTTTTTTTTTTAACATTTTAAAATTTCTCCAAAACAAATATCAAACATACTCATCTCGGAGCGTAATGCAGCAAATTGCAAATAGTACAAAATAGAAGGATTTTGCTTGGCTTTGCTGTTTTTTTTTTTTTGATAAACAGTTATATTAATCCTAATAACTTCTGTTATAACAAAAATGACATATCTATAGGAGCTAGATCGCTAAATTCGTTGTTAGAGTAATTTTGATATGGAATTTGCGCACCTAAGGTCCTAAACACTAGAAAGGCGAAATGCATATATATATATATATATGAGAATTAGTCCTCTGTAGGTTTCTGTATGCCCTCAAGATCCATTCCATTCATAGAAATCATCGATCATAAATATTCAATCCTCGATCTTAGAAAGAAACTGCAAGAGCTTGAGATGGCGATAAAAGAGATTTGGGAAATTATGAGGAGACGGAGATAGTTTTTGATGTTTTATTTCCTCGTAGCAATCTTAATTGCCCTTATGGGGTTGATTTTGCCACCACTGTATGCTATGATAGATAGCCGTGTTCTAGTTCGATGCAATTCTTCCATGTTATTGTCTTCCATTATAACAATAATATTTAAAGGGTTAATAGTCCAAGATGTTTTTTTATTGTTTTGTTTGTCTTAATTATATTTTATTATTAATTTTGTTAACTTTATGTCTTATTTTCGCTTTTCCGTCCAAATGTTCAAACAATAAGATATGCATAAAATACTAACATGTCATTTTGTTTGATTTTCAAAAAATAAATTTCTGAAATGAAAAATGAAAAACTTCGAAATGCCCCCATATTAAAAACCTCGAAATCCCTAATTTAATATCAAATTTCCCCTAACCTAACCTTAATTAAACTTTTATGGGTTTCTTAATTAAACTCAAAAAGAATATCAAACATAATATATAACAATTGATTGGAGGTGCAATGAGGCTCTGAATTCCAGGGCAAGGTTTCAATGACAATCCAAGCAAAAGATGAAGATGATGAGGGATTAGATAAAGAAGATGAAAATGAGCATGCAGAGACACCATGCGATGCTTGTGGAGAAAACTATGCCTCCAACGAGTTCTGGATTTGCTGTGACATCTGCGAGAAGTGGTTCCGTGGAAATTGTGTTAAGATCACCCCAGCTAGGGCTGAGCATATTAAGCAATACAAATGCCCATCCTACAGCAATATGAGAGCTCGGCTTTGATGATGACCAGAGAGCTTGCTCGATGTGTATTATGGCATGCCAAAATGATCAATAAAAAATAATGATGGAACTCAGCCACGCCAACCCATTTCAAAATTTGAGGATGACTTCTCAGCTAAATAGGCTGCATTTCAAAATGATAGAACCTTAAATGATGTAACTCAGCTAAATCCAACAATATTACAACCTACCCATGCAGAAACCAAGTCCTTGTATGGACTCCAATGGGCTAGCTGGCAATAGTTTAAAAAGTTCTTTTCATCACTTCAATCACTTGGTTACAAACAATCTCGATGTGACTATTTTTTATTTACTCTTACTCGTTGTTTGAAATTTATTGCTCTTCTCGTTTACGTAGATGACATAATTATCATCGGAATTAGTTCTCTCTTAATCAATGCTATCGAATCTCACATTCATACCGCCTTTAAAATAAAAAATCTAGAACCGGATAAATATTTTCTTGGCTTAAAAATTGCTCGTTCTTCATCAACCATTCACTTAAGCCAAAGGAAGTATGGCCTTGATATCCTTAACGATGCAAGACTCGCTTGGCTGGAAGGCCATCTCAATTCCAATGGAGAACAATCTTAAATTAGACAATGGCACGAGTTCACTCATTGGCGACTTGAGCCATTATCATCGATTAATAGGTCGACTCATATATTTGAATCTAAGTTAGCCCGACATCTCTTATCTTATTCATATCCTTAGTTAATTTATGGCTTCACCTCGAGAACCACATCTTCAAGCATCTCTTAAGTTATTATGATATATTAAAAGAACAATAGGATAAGGGTTGCTCTTCTAGTCCAACACCCCTTTAACATTGATTGCATATTGTGGTTTTGATTGGGTTGCATGCTTGATAACTCGTCGATCTATTTCCGGCTTTTGTATGCTATTAGAGGGATCTCTTATCTCATGAAAGACTAAGAAACAACCTACGGCTTCTCGGAATTCTATCGAAGCTGAATATTGATCTATAGCATCAACGGATTGTGAGCTCACTTGGCTGTCCAATTTACTCCCGCATTTGCCTATTTGCTTACCACTTTCAATTCTGCTACATTGTAACAATCAATCTACTCGAGCTACACATAGTAGCCAATCTAGTTTAACATGGATACACAAAACGTATCAAACTCAACTGTCATTTAATATATGAAAAATTACAACATGGTTTTATTTCTCTAACACACATTTCTATCAAATCTCAATATGTTAACATGTTCACCAAACCGTTGACTCAAGATTTGATGCAACAACACCTTTCTAAGTTCGGTATGCTCAATATTTTTGGACCCTCTAACTTGAGGGGGAGTGATAAGGGCTGAAATAATTTTCAACCGTTTCTCTTTTTCTTTTTTCTAATTGTTTTTTTCTTATTTATCCTTGATTATCTTTTCCTTATTGAAATTAGGGCTTTTCCGTATTAATTAAGTCAAATACTAGAAGCCGTACATAGATTAAACAATTCTAGTATTTAAAGAATATGTTGTAATCATTTTCAATAGAATAGTGAAATATATTTTTCACTCCTTGAACTATTCGAAATTATTCCATCCATAGTGTATCTTTTCTATAAAAAAAAAAAAAAAAAAACAACTATATACGTGTGTAAATCAATATTTGCTCCATTTTTTCATGTAGATCTCACATAGTTTGAGAAATGCTATTTAGAAATGAGATCACCATGTTGATGTAAAATAAATACATCACATATTTTTGTTAATTTTTATTTAATCTTAAACTTGTTTTTGCATTTCTTTGGCAGAACCATGTTGATGTAAATTAACTTTTTTTTTAAAAAAAAAACGGCTTCAAAACTTTACATCAAATAAAACTAAATCTCCTTTTGCAACAAAACCATCAATAATGCAAGAGCTATTGACTATAATAACCGAGTAAGGGTTACAATGATATACACGTGCATGTTGCAAAATATCTTGGGATAACTCTGGTGATCAGAAAATGTAGAATATCTTGTAAAAATTGAACTTGACAAGTATTATATTGGAGTATTTGGTCAAAAAAATGAATGAAGCTGTACAAGTGGACAATCACTTGACCAAGTCAAAGACCAGCTTGTTTTGGACCTAAAAACAGGTAAACTATACTCTCAGTTTTTCTGTTCATGGGCTTAAAGAAAAAGCCCATTATACCCAATTTTTTTTCCTCCAAGAATAAATAAAATAAAACAAAAAGAAGTGTAGTCTAGAGCCTCCCACGTGATTTACATTCTTGGATTGGATAAAAAGGCCAAAGAAGGCGCTAGTAATTAGTAAAGAAAGCGAGGGCAAGCTCGTAAAGAAAGAAATACAAAAAACCCCAACTTCTTCTGCGCCCAATCCAGATCGCGAATCCCGATTCTTCTTCCCCTCCAAACTTATTTTAGCTCTCTTCTAACCAACTAAGCAGAGTGAGAGACAGAGAGAAAAAACCCTAGCTAAAATCCATAAACGAGCGATCGAATAAGGGAAAAATGTCGGGGAAAGGAGCCAAGGGATTGATCACAGCAGCAGGAAAATCAAACAAAGACAAAGACAAGAAGAAACCCATTTCTCGCTCCTCTCGAGCTGGTCTTCAGGTCTTTTTCCTTTTCTTTCTTTTTAACATTAACTGTTTAGGAATTAGGGAATGAATGAAGAATTGATCTCTATGCATGTTATTACTGCTTACGGATTTCTTTAATGCTTTTTTTTCTTTGCTTCAAGTTTGAGAAATGAATTTATACGAAATGGCTCCTTCTAGTTGTTTCTTTTTGTATTATTCCAATTATGATTAGGATGATAACTGAGAAATTTTTAGCTTTACCGCTTCTCTTCCATTGCATGCACAATTTTTTTTCGTGTGATGAGTGCAGATGTCAGAGTAGTCATTTATGGGACAATATGGTAGTGCAAAATATTTCAACAGTATACACCCCTAAGTTAGTTGCGAAAGAGTTGAATTAGCCATGTTCTTACAGCATGACACAATTTTAGACGTTTAGTTATCAGTAGAGTATGTTCATGGTAAGGGATGAATTTTATTGGTCTAGCACACCTTCATCTTCCCACTATTCTATGCGTATGTCATGAAAGTTTTCCGATACGTTGTGTAAGTTGCCTTTGTTGATTAGTAGTTTACTTGGTTGTTGGATTTCTCATTGGTGCCGGAGTTTCTTTCTTCACCTTGTAATCCCTATTATTTAGAAATCAAGCCAAACATGGTCTAATTATCCTCCTGTGATAAGGCAAGGTTGGGGCAATCTGGCAAATGACCTTAGCTTTTTCTAAAAGGGTTTCTAATGTCTGGCGACGTTTCATCGATGTGCCAATCTTCTGATGTGTATTGGGATTGAAAACAATTTTAATGTCTCCATCAAGTGTAGGCTTTCCTCAGAACTTCTGACGCATCTGATAGATTTTTGCTTCATTCATCCTTTTGATGATGTCAATTAACATCATTTTCTAAGGTAAAATAGGACTCTTCATTTCGATGGCCTGCATTGCTAAATGCAACAAGAAAGATTGAAGAATGCTGCTGAGAGATGTGATAATTCTGTTACAGTATAAAAATGGCTTATATTTGGAGCATGAAGCAGATGATTTGACCTCCTCTAGCCTCAACAGAAGTTTCTTTCTGAAACTGATCACATATGAATTTGCTAACTTCATACATATAAATCCATTGTTGCATGGCTTCCCTTAGAGATAACCTAGAGTAATCACTTGACTGACACTCAGTTTTCTAGATTCAAATTTTTGCACTTAAAAACATGAACTCAGCTTGTGTCTTTATGAACCGTGTTTGGCATCCTAGTAAATTTTCTTTTCAAATCTTTCCTGCAGTTTCCAGTTGGAAGGGTCCATCGTCTATTGAAGACAAGGGTTTCTGCAAGTGGAAGGGTTGGGGCAACAGCTGCTGTTTATACGGCAGCTATACTGGAGTATCTAACTGCAGAGGTGTTGGAGCTGGCTGGGAACGCAAGCAAAGATCTGAAGGTTAAACGTATAACACCTAGGCATTTGCAGCTTGCTATCCGGGGCGACGAGGAACTGGACACCCTTATCAAAGGTACCATTGCCGGCGGCGGGGTCATCCCACACATTCACAAATCACTCATCAACAAATCCTCCAAGGAGTAGACTGTTACATGCGGAACTAGCCGTTGCTGTGTTCGTACTCTAAACCTCAGAAGACATATATGAGAAACAGTGCGGCAGTTAGATGCTTTGAAAATCCTTTGTCACCAGTGAAGTAGAACTTAATCTTGTCTGTAAAAAGTTTATTACATTTCTTCTCTGTTGAACTTACCGGGGAGATAATTTTTCTTCTAGAAGAAAATTGATAACTAGAAAGTAGAATCTAGCCAAACAAATTTTCTGAAAATGATCTTTGAGAAGCCTAGGCTAATGAGATGCGTTGAACTTGATATATGCAATACGATCCAGCGATTATTGTATCGTCTGGTCGAGAGCGCGAGTGATCAAATAGGGCTTCTCTTGGGTGCTAAAAATAACAGAAATTGATTGGTCGTCGGATAAATGTATGACTGCTTCCCTGTTTGCTATGGCAAGAAATTGCCGATGACACTGGTCTGTGGGCAACCCTGCATGTGCATTAAAAGCTAAATAAACAACACCAATAATAATAATGACGGTGGTGATGGTAGGGGAATAACATTGATCGTAGATATTATAGATAGGAATCTTAATTTTTTTGGAAGGGTCTTCGCCCCTCTTTTCATGTAACGGGTAAGCGATATTATTTATAATATTCTAAGCATTTTTTTCATGATCCATGATATAAAAAAAGATAAGATAAAATGTATAATGAAATAAATTAGTATGACTTGGAAATATATTAAATCCTAAATAAATAAAAAATAAGCTCTTGTATTGATACTACATATAGGGTGAGTTTACAAAGTTGTGTGAATAATTAAGGATATGTTTTTGTTACCTTAAAAAAAGATGGAAAAACGTGTTTTCTATATAGAAAACGTGAAAAAAATAAACTGATCATGTAACTTGGAAAACATAAAAAAAAAGGATGTTTTCTAAAATTAGTTATAAGTTGGAGAATTAGAAAATCTTTTTTTTTTTTTTTAATTTTCTTAATGGGAAAAAAATCATATTTAAACATAAAATTCTATTTTTCATTGAAATATTTATAAAAAGAACATAGAAAATATAACAAAAAAGACTTCCTTTTTGGATAAATGGTGAAAAAGGTCAGGATGCTAACTATTACATGGTAGTGTGTGACTTTAGAGATGAGCGTTTGTTTATTCGGTTTTGGTTTTGATAAATTTATTTTAGTTTTTATTTAACTGAATCTATAAAAATTAAAAGCAGATTTGAATTATGTATTATTTCATTTTCGTTTTTGGAACCGAAAATTTCAATTTTTGGGTGAAAAATCAAATTTTCTTTCTAATATAAAAAAAAATGTTATAATTTTTGGTTCTTTAAATACGACTTTTGTCATGAATTAGATCTTCTATGTATTCATTATTTTATTTTGAAAAAAAATAAAAAAAATTTAAAGTTCTAATCAGTTCCAAAATAACATCAAATATCCAAGACAAATAGCATAACTCATAAATCATTAATAGGATTTATTTCGGTAAAAACCAAAAAATATTTCAAAAACCAAACTGAAACCAAAAACAAATAAAATTCAATTTAGTTTTTTTTTAAAAAAAAAACAGCAAAAACCAGATCAAAATCTTCAATTCGGTTTGGTTTTTTAATTTATACCGAATAATACTCACCCTTAGATGATTATTTGCCTGCAAATTGGATAACATATTTTAACATAAAAACGTATTATAAATATGGTAATAACTAAAAGATTTATATAATAGGTGCAACCACTTGTATTTTTTAATTAAGCTTAGGTCCATTTTCTTACCAACAAAAAAGCATGCAGTGGAAGCTAATATATATCAAAATCCCAACGGTGGACACTTCGCCATTGAAAAGGATCGGACCTAAAATCATATAATCTGACTAATACGTAAAAATGGATGCTAAACTAGGAAAAATTAAGATTCGGAGACAAAATAATTGGAAAATCTCAAAGCGTTCTAGATCATCTCACATTCTTCTATGCAGGGGAGCGTGCCTACCAGTCCACCACAATCTCAAGATCACCCTTGTATTCCCAAAATCACCGGTGTATGCACCACAACTCACAAAAACAAAAGTTCCTGCTAAAGCAAGATCATCACCATCATCCACGGTGAGATCAGATTATCAGCCGAGCAAAGTTCCGTTCATGACAACTGTTTTACCTAAGGGCTCCATGCTTCCAGATGTCACTCGTTAAATTTCATCTTTAGCCGGCTTCAGTAAGTATTACCTAAGAACTAAAACAGAACCAAAACGAAATTCACTGTTAACAGTACACACTCTCTCTCTCTCTCACTCACTCAACTGTTCATTTACTGTATCATTATTTATTTACTGTTTTTACAAAAATATTCAATTTATTCTTTATATTTTGAACAATATTTTTTTTATCCAAAACTTTATTTTTCTTTCACTTTGATTCTCGTACCCTAAGAGAAGAGAGAAGGGAGGAGAGACTCATTATAGCCATCTCGACGATTGATCTTATCATTATTTTATTCATCTCGAATAATAGAATTCATTAATAGTAGTGACAAGTTATGAAATGATAAAAGGAGATAGATTGAAAAGTCAAAATATTTTAAACTTTTTATTTTGATTTTAATATTTGTGTGTTTTGTATGAATTAAAATCGATTTTGATTTATTTCAGTAATTTTGAGGCAGTTTAGCTGGCTGACATTTACGAATGGTTCTCTTTTTTAAACAAGAAACAAAACAATATTGCTGTTATAGGTGGTTTGGGATCATTGACTGTCCTGTTAATCTAATCTACAACTTATGCACTGATATCCTCTTTATTTTTCTTAATTCCTAAAAACTTTCCAACCTAATTTACTCCAAGATCAGTAAATATTAAAGAAGCATTAGAAAGTCATTTGAAAGAGAAGAAATACATTGGAAACGTAACTCATCACCAATTGCATGAACCATTTTCCTTTATGCTGCAAAAGCAAATCAAGTCAAAATTTTCAATTGGACACCAAAATCACATATAAAGTTGAACGAGTGCAAGTTAAAGCAAAAGTAAAAATGGAAACCGAGTCTTCTCAACTTATTATTTTATTCTTGGAGAAGAACGTACTAAGAAAGCACCAAGAAAACATGGATTCAAGTTGAACTATTATAATTACCCAAACGAAGTCGATGGGCGTGTAGCTCTTCTGCTATCCACGTATCTCCTTCCCCAAAGAGGTTTTGAATTCAAACCTCTTCTTTTGTTACCAAAAAAAAAAAAAGACGAAATAAATCGCCAAGAGTCAATTGGTCAGGGCCAAACACCAAATAGATTTATTTTTTCTTCCTTTTGCTCACTAAAACGAGAATATGGTCATGACGCTACTGGTGTTGGAAAATACATTTTCATATATTAATGAGTGATTATTAGAAAAGAACCCCTGAGTTTGGGCTTGGTTGCTTTTTTTCCAACCTATAAGCCAATTATGCAAACACCCTTTCTTGCCGACTCCATTTAGTTCCCCACTATAAAACTCAGCAGTTACACCTAGCAGAAGAAAAGAACATAAAAGGCTTTTTCGGTTGAAGATGGGCCTTTGGTCCATGAAACTAAAGAAGTATTGCCATCAAGACAAAATTCTAAATTTGGATGGGAGTAGACCAGGAAGGATAGGAAATAGAGCTAACCTAAGTTTTTTTTTTTTTTTTTTTTTAAAAAAAAAGACCTTGACAAAGGGAAACCAGTTACCCATACATCCATCCAAGAAGCAATCCTCAAAATAAAACTATCATCAAATTTTAAAATAAAAGGTCCTCATTTATCAAAACTACCCTAGTACTCTTGTATCTTCTCCTTCCTTCCCTTTATCTATTCAAAGAACAATACAAATTGGCATTAAATTTGTCTTAAGTGAGAGATTAAATAAATCACCAATTATCTTTTGCTTTCATAATTTTAAAGCTTGATATTACCATGAATTTAGAAACAGAACATAAGCTCTACCATAATGGCTTTAAAAATCTTTCACCAAGAACCTCGTTGATTTGACATCGGTCTTTGTCCACAAAGACTCCGACCTTATCACTAGACATGGTAAATTGTCTATAGGTTAAATAACCTGATTGGCCTGCTATGTCCACTCTATTAGTTCATAGCTGCCAAAGTTAATTTTGCCAGGATTCAAAAGCAAGCTCTTTTGAGGTATTTCTTGAGGAAGTTGTTCACTCAATAGCCTTTCATAAATAGTTCAGCTACTTAAAGGCTTGTTTGATAATCCATTTAAGTAGCTTAAAAAATTAAGTTGTATTACTTAATATAAAAAGTTTGTTTGATAATCTCAATAATCTCATTTTAAAATTTTAAATTCAATCAAAATCTATTTAATTAGATAAGTTAAAATTTTTAACTTATTACTTTTTTATTAACACGCTCAGTTGGATGATTTTTAAAACTTTTTAAATATGATTGTAATACCTTCATATATTTTTATAACTTCAATTATACAAACCAATTGAAAAATAATCTCTACTATCCTATTGTTAAAACAGAAAAAACCTTCTCTATTATCGATGCTTCCATTTTATCATAATTAATAAGCTATTAGAAATCTAAGACTCCAAAGTCTAATCCCAAGTAATTTTCCTTGGAACGTACCTCATCTTCAAGCTCATTGAACTTGTTCCAAAGGAGCCAACTTGCTTCCTCAGTATTTGAGAACCGACTAAATAGGAGGTCATACATATATCGGGGTGAACAAGGGATGTTATATCATTGAACTCCAATTCTGGCAGGGAAGGCAGCGACAGCAAAGATTTTTTTCTAAGGAATTTTCAATGCGTCCCCTTGTACTGCGTGGTAATATAAAACAGTAACTGAACAAGTAAAAAATGGACATCCTTCTATGCCACAACTTTTAGCCACATCTAGAACCCATGGTAAATTTGAGTCGTATATGAGAAATTTAACTAGGTATTGCGTCGTACTACTTTCGTTAATGAGCTCGGCTAAGCTTTGTGGTATTGTTGCCTTGAAACGCTCGACATATTCATCTGGGGGAGCTGCCCTTTCACATTCTTTGTAACCATCAAAAAGGGGTTAAATATTGATGCAAGCAAGAAATGACCAAACATTTATAATTAATTTACAAAATCAAATTATAAATGTATTAAATAATACTTGAGATTTTATTTATTTTGTGTATGATATTACAAAATGTTATCTTAGACCTTATTTTATTTTTTATTAATAATTATTTTTATTGAATATTTATTTATTTATTTATACACAACTATATTTATGCATACATTTTTATTTATGTTAAAAAATATCACATTACAATTACAAGGTTAAAATTATCATGTATACAGCTTTAATATATTCAGTAGCAATATTTATCAAATAATCTTATTATATTCAATACTTAATTTTTAATAAAGACCAAACAGCCTATCAGTTCAAAATTCAATATTTAATAAATTAAACACTTAATTCAATTTTATCAAACAACACCTTAGTCTTAGCTGTGTTCCATTCTCAAAACTGAGTTGCTTTTGCACTAGTTGCAACTAGTAGAAAACTACTTAACAAAGGAACGCAATAAACCACGAACCACACTTTTATTATTTAAATTATGTGGCTTGTAGCCTACTTGACAAAATGATTAGCACAACAAAATGCTTTTGAGAGAGATGGAAGTCCATTTATTAGCATTAGATACCAAAAATTATTTCGATTTGTAAGCCTGTGCCATAGCACAACATTGAGAGACGAGAGAAAAGGGGACAGGGAGATGGTAGAAAGAGTGAAATGAGTTCATCAATCTTTTGGGTCAATATACGTCTTTTTATGATTCACCTAACAGCCCTACCAAAGATTTAGTGTTATAGGGACCAAAGTGTTGTTTCTGAAACCTATGAGGCAAATGGGGCCACCTAAAACTCGGACTACTTTGCAATCATCCCTGATAGAGAAGTTAAGGCATACTTTAGTTAAAAAGGTGGCAAATGATTATAGAAAAGAAAACCAAAGCAGATTGACTACTCAATAACATCCTAGTACACCAAAGAAACTTCACAGGGTAATGGTCGTGATTCCAGAGAAAGGAGAAAAATTTTCTAGTAACCTCCACAGATCTGCTGAAAGTTTTTACACCATCATCTTGCAAACTCCAGAATCTACGTCATCTGAAATCTGGCCTTCTCACCTGGAAGCTTTCTCTTCTTAAAAGGCTGGTTACGTGCTGCATTTGGAGGCAATGGATCCTTAGAAAACTTTGATGTGTTGGGCTTGTTTGAAAAGTGTTGTCGTTGACCAATATATGTATCAGTCTTAGATTCTGGACAATCAAAAACGAGCAATTTCACCTGATAACTTGAATTTTTTATTCAAACCAAAAAGGAAATGCATTTGAACACACATTGGATATCACCTTTAACCACTGGGTTGCTGCTGCTGCCAGACTTGCCATCCTTTACAGCACGACCATCCATTTTTTTCATAACTCCTGATTTTCCAGACAATTCTTTTACATTTGTCTTGAGAGTTCCATGTTTGCCTGGCATCTGATTTCTCCTTTTGTTAAAAAAAAGCTCCACTGCACGTGTTCAGAATTTATCAGAAAAGAAGTGTTGCTAATGTGCATCGATAAGCAAACAATTATAACTTCGTTAGAAGAAACATGGGTCAAGAAGAACTTGGCAGACGCCGGTCTCCAGTTTCTAATATAGCTGAAGATTCAGAATCCAACTTCATATAAATTTGCTCTTGCCAACAATGAAAAGGTCTAAAACTTTGGTCAGATCCAATATGGAAAATTGTTTACAAACAAGAAAAGATTAATAACAGTATTTTTGAAAGGAAAAAAAATAATAGGGGGCGCCACCTGTTTCTGAGGACCAAACGAACCATATGCAATAAAAAAGAGACAACAGAATCTAATGTGGCCTCGTCATTAACAGATGCTTCCCTGAATGCCAGCAGAGTATAATTCTAAACCAACTATCTTTTAACTGAATACAACCCTACCTCTCTCCATTGTCTCGAAAAACCACCACCTCTTCAGACATTTAGATCCACATTACAGATTTAACACAAAGCAAGGAAGAGAAATAATCCAAACGATGGAAAGGAACACCCCCTGTTGTACAACCTAGCCAAATCTTTTACAAGAAATATGCATAAACAATTGGCCATCCATTGAAGACAAAGCCGTCCTGCTTGGATGTTAATTATGAGAAACTGGAAAGCAAAAATATGACAAAACTCTTCATTGACAATTGAAAGAAGAACACCACTGTATATTAAAAATACCAATAGCCCAACCTTCGAGTCCACAGATTTGATCTGGAAAGCTCTCCAATATTCTGCATGTTCCAACATCAAAAGGACGGTAAAATATGTAGTCAGCCGTTTCCAACTGTTGTTTAGATGCTTGAGGATTTCTCTGGTCATTTGAAGCACAAAAAACCTCACATTTCCCAACAATGGATTCCTGAAAAGAGGAAAAAATTGAGACACGAATCTTTTTATGAAAAAAAAATTTGGACTAAGCAATGAGAATCATCATTAACTGTGAAATCCCATTTGACTATAATTGGGCAAAAACCATCATTTTTAATCAGCATTACACAAGCTTGATCGTGCCATTATAAAGCATGGAAATATATGACCTCTTCATGCCAACTACTTTCACACTTGTGTACAAGTTCTTTAAAGATAATTTTGCATAAAAAAGAAAATTACTTTTCCATGGTTTCTGATCATCAGAGTGGCACACAATATTAGAGCAAAACAATAAATAAATAATAAATCGATTAGATTTGCACAACTGGCTCGGAAGAAAATACAAATTAATAGCGATCAAGAATCTGATTTACCACACGATTAAGATTGCTAAGGCCTTTACCCTTGCCAGAAGCCAAAAATATCTCATTCCACTTTGGCTCATAATCTCCCAAGAATTTGCGTATGTCCCTAGGAAAAAAGAACCATACTGCCCTCACCATTCTTTCATGGGCTGCAGTCTCATAGATTTGCACAAGTTTACCAATGTTAATCCCGGTGTCACCTTCAAGGTAAAAGTATACACAATCATGTAGACAGTATTTAACTCCATCGTATGTAAATGACTCATAAAACTGGATTTTTTTGTTCAACCGACCAACTCCCCCTTTTTACCCCATTTAAATATCTGATTCTCTAATCCATTTTTCCTCTTGGTATGGGACATACATTGCCCACTTGCAACACTCATCCCCTTGTTTTTGAAGCTGCCAATCCAAAAATGGTGAAAACAAATGAATCATACTTTGTCAAGTGTAGTCATACATCTCACATGAACAGAAACCTCCACCAGGTTAAAATAACAATAAATGAGCAGAAATGAAGAGTATGACAATGTTAAGGCAACAAAAGTCGAAACCCTATAACCAGTGTATTTAACACAACTCTACAATCCTTCTTTCATACGAACAGCATATTTCAATCTCGGTATTATTTCTATAATAACAAAGCAAAAAACAGACAACAGTTTTTTTGCAAGGACAAAGGCATCATGGACTTGCTGGGCTTCAGGATGCTCTACCTTTCAATCATGCTTCTTGCAATAAAAAAATGACTAGAAATAGTCCTAAACTATTTTAAGGAGAACCCGCATGAACTCCGTATTTTTAAATTAAACAACCAAGCATTTCACACTTATTTGTTATATAAAAATCCGTATGACCAGTCAACGTAAGGGAACAATATAATTCCAGTTGCCGCGTCGAAAAAAAAAAACAGAGAACCATATTTAATCTTTAAACCAAAAACCCTGAAATTAGGTAAAATAAACCATATGGGTTCCAGTTTCCAAACCTAAAGGAAAACGAAACTGATCATCATGACAAAAAAAAAATGGAAGTAATTTTTTATGAATCAAATTGGTTGAATCCATGAGAATAAAAACAAAAGCGCTAAATGTATGCAGGGAGAGCAAGAGAAAGCACCACTACGCACCAGCTTTGACCATCAACCAGAAATACAAACATTTACAAAACAAGAGAAAGAGTGAAAGAGCGAAACATTCACAGAGATTTATAATGTTGAACAAAATGGGAGTAGCTACAGTGAATAAAAGAGTAGATATATACAATGATCAAAACGAAATGGGCAGAGCAGTCAGTATACACACAAAATATCAGAGAGACTGGGCTGCTAGCTTGAGAGAAAAAATGCTCACTGTTTCAAAGAGTTGATTAAGAAAAGGCCAAGATGGTGTACGGAAGGGTTATTTTGCAGTAGGTTGGCGTGAGCAGAGCTTATATATAGTAGTCTAGGAAGAAGGGAAGGAAAAAAACGATCAAAACAGGACAAAAAGAATACCAAATATAAAATGGTTACAATAATATAATTTAGCTGTGCTAATGTGCGCTTTATGCGTATGGAAGAATGGACTTAAGACTGTGACCCGAAAGGGATGGCATGGCACGATATTATTGCAGCGAAGCCATTTCTGGGTTTTTCAAAAAAACTGAGAATATCACCGCCTACGGCGCGTGCTACAAATTCACTTTAAATTTTGCTACCAATTTTTATGTTTCAGAAATATTGGAATTGCTTTAAAAACTAGGGAAAATATAGTCCTTTTTGTTTTTGGATTTGAATTATAGTCCCTAATGCATGATAGGTTTCAATTTCTTTCAAATCTAACCAACTTTTCAGTTTCATCCTATGTTTGTTCTTTATTCTTTTTATATAAAAGAAAATGTTATTGGTGTTGAGTTTTAGCTCCTCAACGTAAGTTACCTTACTCCTTAAAATCCCAAATCTGTATAAAGGTTAGCTCCAAACATCACAAATTCTGGAAAAAAAAATTGCCAATAATCTTTATGGTTAAAACAATTTTTGCCGCGGGAGTTGTTTGTTTAAAACTATGAAGCATTAAGAAATCAAGGAAATGATAAGTGTCTTTGTAGAATCTAAGGTCCCTCTAAAGTTTCTCTTTATTTTTTCATGAGAGTTTTTGTATTTGTTTTCTTGCAAGTTATTTGCGTCTCAAAATTGTGCTGCGACCTGATTATTCAGATGGCTTCACTCCATAGAAGTCATTGTTTCCATGGAAAATGGCCTCGAGTTCACGAAGAATTTCTTTAGTGGGGAAATTATGGACCAATTGTTCCTTTAGTAGGGATTATTTGCGTGATCTCGTAAGCCTACCAGAGAGAACTTTTCCTCTATGTTTAGTAGGGAAATTATGGACCAATTGTGATGCGGACCAACGAGGCTTTGAAATTTATGAAACAATATAAATGCGACGAAGCTGAAAAAAACTATTGGTCCAATTCTTATATATATAGCCTAATTTAATGCCAAACTCGTAGGCATGATTTTAATTTAAAAAAAAAAAAACATTATTTAGGCTCTTAAAATGAACTTTTACTATTTTTTGAGATTTTTTTCCTTATTTTTTAGGTTTTTTTGTCATTTATTTTCTTTTTGAATTGCTTTAGGATTTTGATCGAATTTTCCTACTTATGTATGACTTGGAGGCTGAAAAAAACGTCACTTTTGCTTGATTAATAAACTTTATGAGAGTATCTCGGTTTTCTCAATTTTCAATATTCTTTGAATCAATAGGATTGAAGTCTATTTCCGGCATTTATATGTGCAATTCAACGAAGTTATGGTCGGTCGGTATCTTGATTTCAAATCAATGGTATTTATTTTTTTCTTGTGAGTTTCCGCTACGTCAAATTGTTCCTTTAATAGTAAGGTATTAATACAAGTGATCACCATGCACGAGTATGGAATTATAAAAGTATAAGGTTTTTGTTATTGTAAAAAAACGATTCCACAAATTAAGTAGAAGGTGATTCTACTTAAAAACATATGAATTTCTACTTTAAAAAAAACATGAGAATTTATGTTTTTTTAATTTATATTATTTAAAAAATAACACATTTTCAAATAATTTATTTTAATTTTTTACAAAAAGCTTAAATTTAAGTTACATCTTTAATAGTAATTTTAATATAAACAACACAACAACAAATTATCAAACAATTATTTAATTTTAGTCACGGCACATCACAATAATTTATAACCAAATAGTAATTATTATATTTATAACCAAATGTTGTAGGAATCATCACCTCACTTTGTACACCACGATACGTTTTTATGTATGAAATATTTCATACTTAATTAACTTGTCTTGCATATGTTTATATGAAATACAAGCATTAACGTGCTCTTATTATGTTTTAGACTTGATTCCTTGCTATAAGAGTAGGGTGTTACACTTTCAATGCTAGACTGATCGTATAATAGTTCCAGCTTAATAAATATTGATTCGATAACGAATATAAATAAAACAAGTCTTTCTCTAGTTGTTGAATGATACTCCAATTGTTAAGTTAGCTTTCAAAGAGAGATGATTTAACTGAATAGACTATTAAAAGATTAGTTTTTGTTTGTAGATAACAATTGATAATATACCTACTGCGATATTAGAAAACAGAACATGTAGCATTTAACTTTTTAGCCTTTACATATATATTGAAGAAGAAGCCATCAACTTGCATTGGATAAAGGGTAGAAATCTCTATGCTCAATAGTTTTTAACATATGTTTCGAGAATTTGAGATCTTTTAAAGTGATGATCGTTGTCTGATGGTGAGTATGTAGTCATAATTGATAATGATGTGATAAAGATATGCTAAAAACTATGTCTTCATTAAATAAATATTATCTTTGTCTGCTAATGGGTAGAGAGGTATTTGTACTTGGGCTATCTATCTGTGTTGATTCTATGGGTTTTATCTGATTATGATGGCTACCGACGATAAGTCGAAATCATTCTATTCAAAACAAATTTTTATCCGAATTATCTTTAAATGAAATATAATGATACATATCGTAATTATAATAATGAAGATGTATCATATATTAAGTTTGTTATCGCATCCAAAACTAAAATGGAAACATTAACACTTCCATTTTGTTATTATTTATGGAAGTGTTCTTCAATGCACAAAACATAATTTCAAATTTTGAATTAAATTCAATACTCCTTATATCTATCTTTAGACGTATAGCTACTAAATATAGAGAGTCAGTGCACCAATAAAAGTGGAAAAAGTCTGATGCATTCAACTATTCATCAAACGAATTCAAAACCCCCACTTATCAATTTTCTATGCTAGGCTATTTACCTTTTATATTTTCTATTCAAGGGCCTCTATTTCCGAATTATGATCAATTGAGAGCCTCTAAATTTTTCAAACTGATTTTATTTTATACTTTTTAAGAACAAGGATGACTGTAAAAAAATTATAACCAAGAGACATTGCTGATTTGCTACAACTAACCCGAGATAATTATCGTTAAAAGAGTGCTCAAATGCAAAATGTTATTAAAATTCTAGAAAATACCCTTTTATTAAGGCGTATATCTCGTAACTTGTGAGTCTAGAGTCTGCTGAAGCGATGCACTTTTGTTTTTAGATGAAAATATAATCAGTTTTTTTTTTAATTATTACTATAAAATCAGGATATCATGCAAACAGTGTAATTTAGTGGTTGTTTTAACATAATATTTAAAAGAGTCCTTTGTTGATCAAATTTAGAAAAATAAGGCTCTTTAACAAATAAAAAAAAAACTCAGAGATCCTAAAACCAAAAAATTGACAAGGCTATAAATTTGTAGTTTCCTCTCTACGAAAGTAACAGTGCCTATGTTGCGTTTTTGCCACGAGATGAAATTGTCAGGACGGGGAGTTAGGCAGAACCAAGTGAAAAATTTAACCCCCGCGCGGATAATCGTAGATCCATTTCCTAGTGTTGTTGGGAAATCACGTATATATATTATTGAACAAATTAATGTTGTTTGGAACCTATAGTTTAACTGTCCTCAACATTCTGTCGAAGTGTCCACGCATATCTGTCGATTACCTCCCGTGGAACTGGAGAGATAAAGCAGTTACGTTAGAAGTTGATTTCCAATTGGTAAAGCAGTGGCTCACTGCTGGACCACCGGTTGATAACCCTTGCTCATCTTTATTCACTCATATTTATAGACTTAAGGATCTGGATTGGGAGGTGGGCATGCTTTTCATGAAGCTAGTTCATCATGTGCTGCTGTTTTGGCTAGAGGAGTAGAGTTAGGCGGCAACTCGGTAATATTTCAAGCCAATATTGAAAGAAAATACAATAAATCGATAAGCGTGAAATTAAACAGAAAATTCATAGATGAGAGGTTAATTTTGCTGGGGGGCGAGTAATGGGCCGAGCAAAGCTTATAGAATAGACAAGAACCACCCCAAACTAGACAAAAAAGTACCACAAGCGTGGTGGCAGACTGGAGACTGTACGCCGGGGTTCTTTGCTGCTGTTCGATAGAGGGGAGGATGGTCTTGCAGCGGGACAAATTTGAGGAGAAGATGTTAAAAAAGAAAAAAGTTAAGAAGAGACGTTTTTCTTAAAAACTGTATGACGCGCGCTTTTGAGCGTGTGAGAGACACTCTCTTGATCTTCAATTTAAGTATGAGTTTGATAATGGAAAAAGAGGAATGGCATTATAAAGCATAATAAAACTAGTAATCGTGTCGGGTCTATTCTTTGGTGCGTATTAGAATTCCCATACCATATCATGTTTGTGTTTCTTGAGCATGGGATGGGACTCTACGTGTTAAACCGACTTGCTCGCCTCTTTGGGTTTCTAGGTTAAGTCGTCGGATTCAAAATTATAAAATAAAAAATAAAAAAAATCGAATGAGTGAAAGTATTCGTACCATTATATATATATATAATTGTGTATTTTTTTAAAAAAAATAAACTTATAAAGCAATTATTGTAAATACATAATAAATACTCTTAGAATATTTTAAAATTTCTAAATAAGTCTCGTATTTTCCTTTTTAAATAAGAAATAAAAACATTATGTTCTTTTTTTAAAAAAAAAATCCTATCAAAGTTTCGATCAAGTCAATGGCTTGTTTAGATTTGATTAGGGATGGCAATGGGCAGGGACGGGGATCGCCATCCCCATCCCCCCACCTTTAAAAAAATTTTCTCATCCATGCCTTGTGCTCTGAACGGAGATCCCTGTTCCCATCCTGTCCCTAAAAAATTTTCCCCCTGCCCCGAATAGTGTAAAATTTTTCATATCATCTCTGTCTCAAACAGAGCGTAAAGAGGATAAAAATTTTTTATATATATTTTCATCTCATTTTATTTAATTTTACTATCAAATTTTAAATTATAACAAAAAAATGATAATTTATATAAAAAATAAATTATAAAAATTATTAATTATAAATTTTATATAGGATATAATTTTAATTTTAATAAAAAAAAATGAGGCAAATCACCCCGTCCCGTTCCCGATCAACAAAGAGAATCCCTGCATTTATAGGAGAAAATTGACGTGGGGCAGGGCGAGATTCCGTTGCAGCGTGCCAAATTGCCATCCCTAAATTTGATTACAATATGACTGATATAAGACTCACGTCATCCGATTTTCAAGTAAATCCATTGAATTGTACCAAGTTTGGCAACTACAGGAACATGTATATGAATGTCAACATAATATTATAATTCCTTGTAAACTACGTTAAAGTTATAAAAATAAAAAATTTTATAATACTTAAAGAATAATTAGACTAATTTACTATATTAAATATGAAGTAATAAATAAAAATAAATTATTTATATTATTTTATTTTTCATTTATTTCGTAAATAAAATAATTATTCTTCCTACTCTTCATTGAATTATTTATTTTATTTTATATTATAACTTTCATAAATAAAAACAATCAGTTATTCTCAAGTCATTAATAAAAAAGAACTAATTTATTTATTCCTATAATTATTTTATGTATTGATTACTTTGGTAAATAAAATTTTTATTATACTTTATCTATTTTGAAGTATAAATTTAAATAACTAATTTATATTTCAGAAAAAAAGATGCAAAATAATCTTTTTAAAAATATTTTTTATTTTTTAAAAATAAATTATTTATTTGGTCTTAAAAATTAATGAATTGATTGTATTTATTTTAATAAATAAAATATATGATAAAAATCCACGATCCAAAAGAGTGAAGGCTTTTCAAATTTAAGAGAAATGAGTATGAGTATTTTGAGAAGAATGCTTAGATAAGTTTTGTCCCGTGAAACGAAACAAGAAAGAATAAAATGTAAATTTTGATAGAAAATGAAAAAACAAAATTAATCTCTTTTTCATATCTCATGTGTCCACCAAATAACTTCCCTTATTATTGTATGATGTTACGTAAAATGTACACAGCGATCCCTTATTCCATTAGTGGCCAAGTTATGAGCATGGAAGGCAATTTACAACTCTTTTTTTTTTTTTTTAACAAAGTAAATTACTTTTGTTAAATGTAAGACTTATCAGGAAAAAATGTACGTGGGCTACAACTAGGAGACTGCAGGGAAGCCCAAACTCATACAAGTTTAGAGACCTAAACCAAGGTAAGTACAAAAATCTACACGCATTCTCTTCTACCACAAACAGTATTTTAATTGTCTTTTCTGTCTTTCCACTAATAATTTATCCTTTAACTTACTAACATATCAAACATTTTTAAAAGCCAACTTTTACATCTTGAATAAATTCAAAACGCACCAGGATACAAAGATAAAAAATGATTAATTGACACAAAAATAAGGATCTATTTAAACCAAAATCTTAGTCCACTCAACACCCCTTTTGGAGTTTTAGATTTTTTTTTTTTAAAAAAAAAAATCATCAATCTGTATGGAAATTGTTTTGCAACATTTTATTATTAATATAACGTACAAATTCTTTCTACCTTTGTGAATACAATATGTTAGGAGAAGGGGCTTTTGGAAATTACCCGTAAAAAATTACAGCCCATAGTAGAAAACAATCATAAGTGAAAAACTTCAGAACTAGGGATTGTAGGGCTTTACCCAGATGGGAGCCCTTCCAGAAATTCTCAATGGCCTGAGCCAAACCCAGGCCAATGAGGGGGTTTGGAAATAGTTTTCAACCAGCAATTGACGCGCCTCGGTTAGTACCTCACTAGCTGCGTCATTGCCCCAAGCGCAAAGATGAAGAAGTAATTGGCTTTGTGACCTAATTTATAGTCAAGCTCCCCCTTCACAATGCGCTCTCCGTTCGATGTGGGACTCTTAGCCAACTTTTCTTTCATTACCTGGTGTGTTTTGAATTTATTAATCATTTTTCTGATAGTTACTCTTGTCAATGTAAATCTCGTATCCAACTCAACCTACGACGTATTTGAAAAACACAATACATACAAATTCATCATACTAAAATTTTATATAAAACGAATAGAAAAACAGATGCGACTAGTTTAAATGATTTCGTTCCTCAAACTCTTTTCCCATCCCAGTCTAACATTAAAAATTAACCTCCAGTTTCCACCATTGGACAGTAAATTTTAACCAGCACATTCAATGTACTACTACAGAAAATTTAACTCCATATCCGGATAAATGGGATGCGAGAGGCCCATTTCCAGAGTCTGACCTCGTGAACTTTACTGGCGTGTACTAAGACAGTAAGAAATTGGAAATGATTGGACGTAAATTGACCTCAAATCAATTCACATCAATGAAATAAAAGATAATAATAAAAAAAATGTTTCACAAATAATAATGAAACTTCTATCAGTCTTAGACACCAATTATTCCAGGGACCGTATAAGGTTTCGTATGGCTTCTTGCCTTGCGAAACTAGCACAAGATTTTCTGTTCAATATTACAAAGAGGCCAATCCATGAAAATAAATGTAGAGAATAGTAGTTATCAAAAAAATAGGTTAAGCTACTTCGGAAACATACAAACTCTCAAATGCATGCATTCCACTCAGAAACATGTACAAATATGAGCTATTTTCCACTCCCTTAGCGTGAAAACAGCAAGAACTGTTTGAATGAGCTTTCAGTTAACTGATTAGAACTGGCCGAGGAAAATTAAAAACCAAAAAAAAAAAAAAAATACAAGTGAAAGAGCTTTAAAATAGAACGTCAAAAATACCCAATGGAAAGGCAGACATTAGTCACCCTCTTGGGTAAATTGCTTAGGGAAGAAGGGTATAGAGAAAAGGGGGAAAAAAAGCTACAACAGATACAAGCCTATTGATAAGTTTAACAAAAAAAAAAAAAAAAAAAGTAGGCATTATTGGTTTTCCAAATCTGGTTCCAACGAGAGTCTGCTTATGAACGGTGATATAGCTGCCAGTAATGCATTGGGACACTCCTCATGTGGAAGATGGCCACATCCAGATATAGCAACCAGTCTCTGCAAAGAAAATAACCCTTGGTTAACTACCAAATTTCTCATCCTTGGTTAACTACCTCAAGATTGAATACTGCGTGCAACATTTCAATATGTCCAATCCAAGAATCTAGTAGAACAGAGAGACACTTACAGAATTTACAAGTTTTAAAGCCATGGCTTGAGAAGATTTAAGTGGAACAAGAGCATCTTCAGCGCCAGCAATGACTAACACTGGCATGTCTTCTACAGCCTTCAACAACGATGCAGAATCTTGTGGTGAAAGGACTGTCTCACATGAAAGTTTACCTATCTCATGGACTGCTTCATCCCAACCTTCGACGCATAGCTGTGCCTGATTTCACACCAAGTTAGCCAAGTTGACATATTAGAATATCACATTGGATAACAAAACATGCATATTGTTTCTCATACACAACTACTCATTACAAACAAATTTAAACTTTTCACTTGAATAATAAACTGCAGACGATTCGAGGGTGAAGAAAACTAGATGAAACACTAGAACTAGGAAACAAATTAGAGGTATGCTACTAAATGCATTTGATTAGATAAACAAGTTAAGTGCTGATGGCAAATACAAGGGAATTTTAGCTGGAAATTTGACTCTTCTAGTCATACTTCCCCAGAACATTATACCCAGGTCACCGACAAGCAATCACTCCCTTGGAAAAAGTATGGTGCAGGTTACTATATTTCTCTATCAATTGTGTTCCAAGTGCATGAATTTCTCACTATTTAATGGAAAATTAATCTTCATCACACCAAATAAAATCCTCTGCATGGAAGGAAAGGAAAGGTAAATTTTACCGATCATGTACCTTTAATTCCCGCGAAAAGAGTTAATAAAAAGGAACACAATATATTTTCCAGTAATTTACTTCCACCTCCTAATATATTTTCCACACACAGCTTCACTGAACCAAAAAACCTCAAGACACCAATTGGACATCAAAACTAAAGTCTGCCTTGGAAAATTAGATTATAGATGAAGAGCCAGCCAATAACAACATGACCAGTATAATGATAACATATGAAGTATAATATCAGAGAGGATTTTTTACAATTTTTACATGAATTTTTTGGAATGGTTTTATGCTTCCCAGGCGTGATCCATGACACAAGAGAATGGCCATGCTAGGAGGAGGCATAGACATACCTTATAAAGACTCAAAATCTCTGTTGTTAGCTTGGTAGCATCATACCATGCACGTCTATTCACCACTTGAATAATTTCTGTTCGCAGCAGAGGACGAACCAAGTGCTTTTTTCCAAGAGAAGTGCGCAGAAGTATCCTAGCAAAGGCAGGAACCACTTCTCTAGACAAGCTAGCATTTAGCAATACTACTCCTTTAATTGTAACCTGAACAATGCACAAACATACACATAGTGTGAGACATGAGAACCACAATTAGAATGTCACACATTTAATAAAATGTCCAAAATTAGAAAGTGCATTTTTACCATTGTCTAACAAATCAGATGAATTATTCTAGAGTTTTGAGTCTAACTTCGACGAATGACTTGATAGTAAAGCATCAAAATTCAACTACAAACTAGCCATCAGAGATAAACGATCATAACAGGAAGCATGCAAGTTTACAACATGAAATGCAATTATCAAATTTTGGAAACCACAGGGCAGTGCTTGCTAAAACCATCCATTAAGTTGCTTTTCTTTGGAAAAAATAAATCCTACGACTTTAACTGATCAATATGATGTTCTGGTACCAGAAAAGCTCTAAAGTCCTCTCTCATAAAAAATTCCAAGGCAGAGAAAGTGGTAGCATTCTTCAAGCAGCCCCACTAGCATATAGATTACCCTCTTTAACTCGTCATCATATCAACCACAAAACCAATGATTGACAAGAGCATGCATAACATTCCTCAAGTTACTTAGTATTCAACTCTCTTCCAATATGGTTTTGTAAAGATATGCAGCATCACATTATTTAACTGTTGAAAGACTTACATTGAAAGAATTCATTGATGCTTGAATTCTCTGAGCGGCTTTTAAAGCAAGCAAGCCTCCATCGTCATGACCAATAAGTACCACTGAAGTAAACCCCATCTCAGAACAGAAAGAAAGAAGCAAATCAACCTGAAAACACCAGAGCAGACATAAACTTGAAATACATAATTAAGTCTCCAAACAGAGCAGGTAAAGATGAAAAGACAGACTTGTCAAAAAAAAAATAAGTCAAGATACAAAGCCTAGAGATCTAACATGCCCAATTAGAAGTATCAAATGCTGTTCAACTAACATGGTAAAATACCTGAGTTTCAAGCTTGTAAGGGTTCGGCAGTGCTTTATCTTCCCAATCTTTACGGCGTAGCCGAGAAGTTAGCCCCCAACCAGGCCGATCAAAAGCAGCAACTGCACAGCCAACCTGCTGAGATAGCACTCCCATCACATGCCTCCATGAGAAAACTCCACCTCCAAATCCATGAACTAGAACAATACCTAACTGGCCATTTTGCTCCATGTCTTGCACAGGAATCACAGAGTTCAATTCACACGTTCCATCCTCCTGAACAGCATCATCTAGGTTCAGAACAGGAATTTCTTCGGATATAACAGAAGTAGGAGAACCATCCAATAGTGGAGCATACAGTGAAGAGCTGTAAAATTGATTGCTATAACTCCTATATAGATCGTGCTGGGTTTTTTCTACCGCAATAAATGGCTGCCTTTCAGGTCTCAACCTCCCCACCACCAGCTTGGGTGAGCTGCAGCCAGAACTAGATTCAAGAACGGGAGTAGAGGATAAGTACCGAGGGGATGCACCAGGGAAGCAGAGCTTGTAGTGGACAGTAAGTCCCTGGCACGTAATGAACAGGCTGTCAAGGTCAGCAAGTAATCTGACTGGAAGTTCTCCTTCATCACGAGTTGTTCCGAAAGGCTTTCGCTTCATTTCACTGTCACTTTTTGGGGTTCTTCCTGCTGTGGGAGTGGGAGACCGTGGAACCTTCTGATAGCCCGAGAAAACGCTTTTACATGAAAGCACCTGGTAATTTAATTTAAGCAGCAAAAAGAGCATTAAACTTCTTGATATTATTCAAAATAACAAAAGCAAATATATGCACTAACAAGAACAAATTTGTTCACTGGAAACAGAAAATCCAACAATTTTCACTGTCCAAAACCTTTGGACATAAATTTAATGAAATGCTACATGCAAAACAACCCAAAACAGGATAAAAGAGAGAAGGAAAAAAATTGGTACGCAAACATACAGCTTCGGGGTCAACTCGGTGAAACATAAGCTTTCTCCTTGCTCTGCAGCTAGTTCTATAAGCAACCACAGTGTGTCCAAGAGCAAAGACTACCGACGAAAGAAACAAGACAGGCATCCCCCATGACTTCTTCAGATGAAGCTTCTGCCTTGAAATTGAAGAAGTTGAAGCTTCAGCTTCAATTTGAGAATTGACGGTGAAAACACATGTCTTAATTGAAAGAAGCATAATTGAAACAGCAGAACATAGCGTCACTGTTCCAAGGTAAGGTCCGTGTGATAGAGCTGGAGCATCGCACATTGAATAAACACCTGTTAATCATCATCATCAAACAACCCATGAATAAAACACAAATTTACATATAATTAATTATTTAATTCTTTTTTGAAAAGCAAACAATTAAAAATTTCGAAATAAATTTTTTTTTTTTAAAGTGTTTTTATGAAAAATACTTACAGATGATGAGGAAAGATCTGATAAGAGAAACGATAGGGATATCGGTGAAGGAGCTTTTAAAAGAGTATCTCCGCAAATGGCTTTTGAATCCATAGCACGTCAAGCACGTGAAACTCGATACCAAAACGAAAGGAACCACCACGTCCCCTATAGCCACAAGCACCGGCATCGATGATACCAAGAGCGACGCCACCATCGCCACCATGAAAATCACCGTCCTTACACACCTCCTCGCCTTCTCAACCACCACCCCCCAACATCCTCTAGCCGCCGGCGCCATAACCTTCCTCTTCTCTCCAAAAGCAAAAAATAACCGTAATTAATCAATTAATTAGGCGATTCTCTATATTGCATAAAAAATATTGCACTTGAAACCCTAGCCCAGTCAACGAAATGAGGAGGAGAATTCTGATCAGGCGACGGTTCACTGGCCATTCCCTGGAAGATCAATGTCCCCGGAAAACGGTAATTCTAATTCAAATGGCCAATAGAAACGCCGTTTAGTCAATAATTTTGGCTAGGGTTTCAACGGCATCGAGTAAGAGAGAGAGAGCGCCTGTTCTTCTTCTTCCGTTTTTTTTTTCCTTTTGTTGAAATTGGAAGGTCTGTTGTGGTGTTTCTCTCTGCGTGATTTGTTTTTGAATTCTCTTTTTATCAGAGTTTCTCTCTCTCCTCTTTTTCTTGTATTTTGTTGTTTCCATCGCTGAATTAATTAATTAATTTAAGTAAGGCAGTAATAGCCAATAGGAATATTATTAAAGGGGTAAAAAAGTTTTACCAATTTCTCTGACAGACACCCACTAGATTCCGGTCTGGTGCATGTCTGGCACTGCCAACTTTGCTTTATGTGTTGTTCTTGTGGGACCCATTTACCCCTGGTGTTTTGTTTTTCTATTTTCCTCACTTTTTTTTTTTTATTTCTCACATATGCTTTTACGGACAGAACTGCCCTCTGCTTTGCTTTTCTTTCGGTGTGAAAATTTTGAAATGAAATAAAAAACTAAGCCTTCTATTAAACAAATTAATTAGTATTTTTCATTTCAAAAAATAATAATGTATTCTCTTGATTAGTATTAATTGAACTTACTTAAATATTATTTAAATTTAAAAAATAACATCTTTTCTTATGGATCCTTTCATATTTTTACTTATTTTTTATTTATTAAAATAAAAAATCAAAATAAATTTGAAACAAAAAAAACAATTAAACTATATAAAATATAAAATATAAAGATTAAATAATTATTTTTTTCAAATAAATAAGATTAATTAGTAATAATTAGTATTTAAAATAAATGATACTAATTAATTCGTTTCCCAAAACTACATAAAGTAATTTATAATTGACACAAACTTTCATCTTTTCCCAAATCATTTATTTTTTCAATGTTTCTATATTCGTGGAGCAAAGGGTTGGTTATACATCAAAAGAATTCTCAATTTTGGTTGACAGGATCCTTAGCTTGCAAACTTTCTAGATACCCTTTTTTCTAATTCTAATTTATTATAATTTTGAAATCAATGTTTTTTGTCCATCCCAATAGGACGCCTAGTTGTTAAAACATAAATTTCACTTGAAAAACTTGAGTTTAAAATTTGAGAGGATGCAACTGGACACTGGTGATAAAGAAGAGATAATAATATAGTTAAAGATTCGTTCAACCTCTTACTAACCTATCAGAAAAATAATTTTTCACTCTGTCATTAACCTCTACGATTTCATATTGTTCTGATCTCTTGCCCTTTGAGAATTTAGACGGGCTTGTATATCTTTGACCAAAAAAAAATCATCAGGGTATAGATGATTTTTTTTTTCATATCACGGAGATTAGTTGATTTCTCTTTTTCTTTTTCTTTTTTTGGCTGTGAGCTTGCATCGAACTTGTTGATTTCTTCTATTTGTTAAAATCGGTGTCAATTGTGATCTAATTGATCAAAACTTTTTCATTTTTCTCTTTGATCAAGAAAACGAAGAATACTGAATTCAATCACGGATCTTCTAGATAAAAATGAAGTGTTTGCCGTCGTGCTACAACCACTAGGCTATTGACTTATGTATCAAATACAAAGCCACTAGGATTTTGAGCATTTCAATGTATATACGTATACTAATACTAAACTCAATTATTGGAAAATTCAAAGCTGCTGAATAATATAATCTTATTCGTCAAGTTTGGAATGACTTTTAGATTTTTATTCAAAAGAAAAAAAAAATCACAACAAACACATAGAATAAATAAGGGGACACACGGCCACATAGATACCTATTTGTTTTGCAAGAAACATATTGCTGAGGAAAATATTTTTTGTGGAAGATATATTTTTCAAAAATGAGTTCTTTTCTATTGTATAAATGCATTAAAGAAAATATTTTTATGCAAAATAAATTATTTTACATTATTTTTTTTTCAATTATGATAATAAGATGAGAAGAGTTATGGTAATAGTGGCGAAGTAATGATGGGATGATGATAGTGGTTTTTATGATAATATTGACAATAACAGTAATTGTCATAGGGTGATAGTTTTTGTGAGAGTACTAAAGCTAACAATATTGATAAAATGATGATTACAACGATGATTATTTTAATAATAAGATGGTTATAGCAATGGTAATTAAATGTGAAGATTGTAGTTATGGTAATGATAATGTTGGAGTGACAATGGTGATTGTGATAGTAGAAACGAAGATGAAATGGTGGTTACATAGATAATCAAATAGTGATTACGAGTGGTGGTTACAGTTATAAGGAGATGGATGTTATTGTATTGGTGATGGGATTGGAAGGTTATGGTGGGATGATAATAAAGCAAGAGTTACATTAGCAATAAAATAGTAGTTGTAATGACATCGATGGTGGTGGATGGTGATAGTGTGGTTGTGGTGGCAATGATAGTTATATCATGATGTCACTTAATATTGAAAGTTGGTCATGTCAAGGAAATTTTTTTTTCTAGGTTAAAATATATTTTTCCAAATTGACACTAATCAACGATTGATCATAAAAATATTTTATGTTGCCTTTTTGTTTTAGTGTTTGCTTCGCACTAAAAAATAAAAAGGGATTATTTATTTGAAAAATATTTTTTGTAAAATAGACAGATATGTACAAGATTTAGATTGACTTACAAAAAAAAAAAACAAAGATAATATAAACTACGTAAAAGAAAAAAAGCAATTAGATGACTCGCTTTATATGATAAAGAAACAAAATACAGGTTTTAGGTTTTTTAAAAAAAATTAAGACGAGGGGGTTTAATAAAAAGTTCCAACCATAATTTAATCTCAAACTATTAGAATTGTGGTAACATAAAATTTATACCATCAATTTAGGCTATTTAAACTCCAAACTATTAATTTTTTTGGCAACATTTATCCTTTTCCACTCGTCGTTGATGGTCAAAGTGTTGATCGTTAATTAAAATACGTAAAAATGATGTTGTTTAAAGCATTTTATTTATAAAAATTAAAATTGATGTGGAAAAAAATAATTCAATTTTTTTTATTAGGTAGGTCCGTTGCATATCATTGTCTAGTTTTAAGCATTACAATTTTTTTAGAATTAAAACTAATTTTACAACAAAAAAAGATAATAATTCAACTTTTTTTCTTTTTTTACTACATAGATTCATCACACGTAATAAATTATCCAATAACAAAAGTTAGATCTATAAACAATAAAATCGTCTAAACTTCCTTAAATCTAATTTTTATTTTTATTTTTTTCAAAATTAATTTTAATTCTAAAACAAACTAAAATGCTTAAAATGACGTCGTTTTAAGTAATTTAATTAACGGTCAATACTTTAACGAGTTAGATATAACAAAAAATGATAGATTTTGCCCAAAAATTAACAAGTGAGTGGTCCAAATAGGTTAAATTGATAATATAAATCTTATTTTACCACAATCTCAATATTTTGAGGGTAAATTATGCGATTAAACCATTAATAGGATAATACTGAGTTGACATGATATTAATACTTCCCAAGTCTTAAAAAAATCGTATACTTTTTCTATTTATATACGTTCCAAAAATATTTGTCTCGTAAAAAAATAAAATGGTGCACTTTTCCAAAATACTTTTAACTAAAGTCCATTTTGTAAAAGAATGTCCAAATACAATGAAAAAAATGGTATTTTAGGAAGAAAAAAATATGAACACAAGATTTTGACATTGCATAACATTTTAATAACACTTTTATCTATGTAAAAAGTCAAATAGAGCAATCTCAAACATTTTTTTTTATAATTCATGTAACAATTCAAATATGAATCTCCATGTGAAGCCAAAAAATCAATTTAAATATATTTAGGAAAAAAAACATGGGAAATAGTTTTGATCAAATAATTGCTTGTTTTTATTTATTATGATATGCGTTTTGAATGGGAGGTAAATTAGTTGAGTTGATATGCTAAAATTTAGTTCTAAATTGATCCATGTTATTAAAAATTCCACCAATCCTTGAAATAACACCTTCTCATCACCCTGCATGATCTTTCATTAAAAAAAAAAAAAATTCAATGAAGGGGAACACGTGTCAAGAAAAGAGAAAATTATAAATTACTCCCCTATTTTAAGAAACATACTAATTAATCTTTTTTTTTTCAAAAACTAATTATTTTGTTTTTAATTTAACATTATTTTACTTTATAAAATTTTATCTTTCTTATCGATCCTTCTATAATTTTTTTACTTTTTTCTCCTCCTTTTTATTTATTAAAATAAAAAATCAAAATAAATTAAAAAATAAAAGAATTAAGTTTAAAAAATTACAAAAACTAAATAATTAGATTGTAAAACAAAAAAAAAACTAATTAATTTGTTTCTCCAAACTTAAAAAACTAATCATAATCTACTCATGAAAAATTTGATATTTAGATCCACACTAATTGAGTTGACTAAAAATTTCGGAGTTTAAAAACATCCTTTGTCCATTTGCTTATGTCTTATTATTTGTTCTTTATTTTTTAACATTTTATTGTGATGTCTTGAGAAATTTTTACATAAACTTAATATATTCTATAAAAAAAAATCATATATTTTATTGACTTGTTACAACAATTAGTTGTATTGGTAGAACTGACTGCAACAATCAATTAAACTTTTTTTATTTATTTACATGAACCAAAACCATATAAAAAAATTCATAGAATGGATGAATAGTCGTCACTCGCTTCTAAAAAGTGTTTTATACTAACATTTTATTATTATTTAATGGTTAAACATGCTCTTGAATCAATTTTTATATACAAAAGATACGTTCATTTATTTGATA